TATGTGAACATGGAAGTTCAGACTTAATAGGAAATGAAGTGGTGAAAAGCGACGGTTCATATGGTCATGGAAAAGACTGATATTCTCCTACTATGAATGTATTAAATTCCGCTATATACATTGCTGGCAAAAGGCATGAATGAATAAATGATATGCAGTTTATGGATTATGAAAATCCATATGAAGTTTTCACCAGAAAGAAAACAATTTCGCAACATATATGTAAATCTCATACTAATTAGTGCCATGAAGCACACTATATTCTCATGAAGAGAATTGCAAGACTCGTAGAAGAGTTTATGATGACTCACAAAGAGTTTTTCTCCTAGAAGTGAGAATATTTCTCATAGCAGAGAAAATGACTTCCGGAAGAATAAGTTGATCCCTGTAGGACTACGCTAATGTATAAATTACCGGTTAATCTCCATATAACACCGATAACTCGTACTCCCATGAAGTGGACGGACTCGTTCAAACGAATGAATTGGAAAATCACATCCACTAGCATGCAGGTGGATCGATAGTTTTCTACATACTATGAAGGTGTAAGAATTTATATATCATGAAGATATACTTATTGATGGTATTTGGCAATCTTATTAATTCCCCTAATGCCAAAATATAGACCAGTTTATGTCACTCTAAGTGGTTTAAGCTAATTGTTGAAGATTAGTGAAACAATCAAACTGGTAATGATTGATAAATCCACTAAGAGAAAGTTGCATAATATTTAACCTCTTGTATTGAGCTAATTATTTTATATATACCGCATATGTGTAACGTTGCAACTTATTTTCCCATAGTCCTCCGTAAGGATAAAACTTTGTTTGTATTGCACATTTAAATAAGTGGTTATACATATTGCTCCTATACGTTGATTTATTTCTCATGTTCATTGTAAAACTTATGAAATAAGTAAACGAAAGATTAAACATTGTGGTAATTTTATTATCATTGTCTTACACATTAATAAAAATGTGGTTATGACATTGGAACATGGAAGTTTCAACGGATGTCTTATTGAGGGGGAGCATATATGCTAAACATTGATTATCATACTTAAGACTTGGAAGTCTTATATTTGATTTACCAAGAATTAATCAAATTAATTATTGTTTAGATAATTTACCTTGAAGGTTACTACCGCTATATTGTTGTGTTAATTCAAGTTGATTAATATAATAAAGCATATAGATCATTAGCTATTTATAAAGAATAGTATATCTTAAAGATTATGCGATCAAGAAGATCGTGTGTTGTACTCTTTTTCCCTTAGTGAGTTTTTACTTGAATATTTCTCACGCAAGGTTTTTAACGAGGCAACAAGTGCAATATAACTAGCGTGTACGATGTACTCTTTTCTCCTATCCTTTTCTCCCACTGGATTTTTGGATGGAGTTTTTAATGAGACATGTGTATAGCGCGGTATTCGCCCAAGGGGGAGTGATATGAAACCTATTATCTCCTGCCAGAGATAAATATGGGCTCATACCTAATATATGGAAACATATCCTAATAGGACTCTTTCTATTATGTATATATATACGGAGAGAGAGGGCTTGAGAGGTTGCATGGTTGATGTATCCACATATGAGAAAGCAATAAAGCTGTGATGCCTCTCCCTATATCCGTGTTCACTATTCATCTACTATATGATTGTGTGCGTGAGATCGTCGTCTTCTACTCCGGATCAGCGAATAGGCCACTAGTTATTCAACACTAATCTAGCGCAATTCGTCATTTAGCCTACCCTGCCCTGTTGTGGTAAGGTTCTAGGAGGGCACATACATTCAGCCGCAAAATAAACCACTTGCAAGATTTAGCACAATTGCTGCTGCCACCGTCAAGTCCTGTTAATCCTGCTTTGTTTCTGGGAGGAAACATACGACCCTCCCTGACGCAGTTGCTGGGGAAAAAAAATGCAATCATGATGCATTGCTTTGGGCTGAAAGAATGAAAGATTTGATTTGATCTGATTGATCGCGTGTGTGATTTGTATCGGCACCAAAAAAAAACCCTAGAAAATGTTTGGCTGGATTCTAACTGCAAAATCTAACCAACTCAAGTAACGGAGTTTGCAATGGATATGTGGAGCGGCTCAAACAACACTTTACTCTTTTGTTCATTGTTCATTTCTGACGCAGATGCTGGGGGAAAAAATGCAATGAAGATGCATTGCTTTGGGCTGAAAGAGTGAAAGATTTGATTTGATCTGATTGATCGTGTGTGTGATTTGTATAGGCACCAGGAAACCTAGGAAACCTAGGAAATGTTTGGCTGGACTCTAAATGCAAAATCTAACCAACTCAAGTAACGGAGTTTGCAATGGATATGTGGAGCGGCTCAAACAACACTTTACTTTTTGTTCATTTTTCAAACCACTCCAGCCCATCCACTCTCTTTTTGAATGGAGCTGAAACCATTTGAGTATGATTCGACTTCAGAAAATATGGAGCAGAAGCTAATAGGCACTCTACCACCAATGCTTCCTTGCTCTGTTGACAATTCTCTAAGCATCTACTGAATGATAATACTGCTGGCATACCCTGCTCTCCAAAGTCCTAAAATACTTCACCGAGCTCCGAGCAAATCTTTCTCTTGCTCAATCTAGATGTCATAGTCCCAAAAGTCTTCACGTCGAAGGCTCCTGCGAAAGGCGAGCGGAAAAAAGTCTTTGTCTCCCGGTCCCTTCCCTTTTATCTCCGGCGGCCTCTTGGTCGTCGGCATGGAGGGGAGGGGTCCTCCACTAGTAGAGATAAGTTTAGTGCTAGTCGTGTATTTCCCGTTTCTTCCTGTGCTTCCTCTTTTTTTAGCTCAATTGGGTCGTCGGCGTTCAGCTCTGCTTGTCTCAGTTTGATGGCTATGGCGGACTTTGTCGATGTTCTTGTTGGCATTGTCTTCCTGGCCGGTGCATGATGGGTTTAAGTTCAATACCTTCAATTGGGAGTTTTGCTGTTTTACTTCGAGCTGAAGGCTTGTTGTCTAGCCCATCGAATAGAAGGTTGTATCGGCTCTTTCCTCCATCTCCGACAAGTCTTCTGCACCCTACTTCGTTTCTAATAATAGCTATATAAAAGGTGGCTAATAATTTCTCCTATAGACCAAGATGGCTTCAACCTTCGTCGAGAGGCCCCGTTTGGGTATGCTCCTTGGCTCTCCCTATTGCAGCTAGCCATGGTTCTTTTGCTGCTTCTGTCGCCGTGCACAAGGCTCTGGCCATCGCCGATGTGATCGTTTCAAGGACCTGATTGCTTTTCATGTATCTTTTTAGGTCCTTATTTCCGTATGTTATGCTTGAAATGTAATTTACCCATTAGTCAGGGGCTTTTCTGCAAAACTTTGGGGGGAATGTAACTCATGTACTTTGTCCTTAATAAATTAAACACATGGGTTTAAAAAAAAATAAAAACAGAGAGAGAGAGAGAGAGAGAGAGAGAGGGGGGGGGCTCGGAGCATATGAGAATAACTCGGTTCTCGTACTTTGCATGCAAAACGTTAAACATCTGAATTGGAAGGTATCTTCAGCCCTTCATCTGTTAACCAAAAAATTCTCATTTATATGGTAGAACAACACTTCAGTGCTAGACAAAGACTATGGCATAGCAAGGGTTTCGCCACGCCACTCACGGTAGCATAGCAAAACACTATCACCACCTTTGTTCGGCCACTATTCATGGGTTTTTTTATTAAAATTTTTTTAATAAATTGCATATAAATTTGAATTAAAGGTGGTTTAAAATTTAATAAAAAATCCTACTCCCTCTTTATTTTAGAGATTTTGATTGGATGTGATATATTCTAATACTACGAATCTAGATACATGTTTCATCGAACCAAAATCATTTATATTTTAGGACGGAAGGAGTAGGTGCGAGCTTGTTGGTCCCACACTTCAGTCATCGCGATAGAATATGTTCAATGCACTGAGCAAGCTTAATATATTTGTGCCAAAAATTTGAACTAAAATCGTTACCCACCAAAACAAGGCTGGTAAGCCTTAACCAAACCCAAGAGCTGTTTGAAAATGCTAGTAAATAATTAACATAAATAGATTTATGATAATTATTCGACGACAAAGCAAATAGATTAAATATTAGAAGAGTATTTTTTTTCTTTTTAAAAAACTCATATGTTCGGTTTTTTTAAAAAGGTACAAAACTCATGCGCTAACAATGTGACAAAATCAGACGCCTCGTTGTGGATAGGTATGTGAGCATGTCATCTACTACTGAAATAATAATTAACTACTGAAATAATAATTAACTGTAAGTACAAACATCCATATCAATATTAGGACTTAAACATGTCTGAAACTATTTCTCAAAATAGCGCAAAGTTAAAACCAACACCCTTAATCAAGAAATCAAAAGTTAAAAAAAATTATATACATTATATTTTAGAGAAATTTATTGTCCTTGGGAAAGTACGAAGAGTTACCAAAGTTTTACATTAAAAATTTCCAAGGAACCTCCCAAGAAACGTGGTATCTTTGATAAGGATAGTAAAATTACAATATAGTTTTAAATATCAACGTGTATAGGGTTAAAATTTACTCCCTCCGTCCAAAATATAACAACTTTTAGTCCTCAAGATTTGTCCCAAAATATAAAACTTCTCCACCAACATTCTCTTCCCAACCAATCACAACCCTCCACCATTCACTTTTCCTACCTACCACTACTATTTAACCAATCACAACCTTCCACCATTCACTTCTATCTACTTTCTTACTAACCGTGTTCAACTTTAAAAATGCTTATATTCTAGGACGGAGGGAGTAATAAAATTTTAGAATCATTACATAGCATTCATTATAATACGTAAGGTTTTATGCAACATTGACCAAGGTTTTCACAAATTTACTCGTATTAGAGTGTTGTTGAGTTGATTTTGTAAGGTTCTCTAAGAAATTATGACAACTTTTTTTTGGCAAAAACTGCACTATTTAGAACTTGAGAAACGTGTCCGCGGTAATGTGTAACTTTTATAGATAGAGGAAGTAACAAATAAAAGGACTTCGGAGCTTCCGATAAATCAAACACGCATTTAACGCGCCAAAAAAAAGGGCTTACTTCCAGGTGCCACAATTTATGCCGCATTCACAAGATCATTACAAGCAAATCCCATTCTTGCTGCTACATGAAACAAGTACTACTAAATCTATGCAGGTGCATTATTGCATCATACTATGTACAATCCTCAGAAATCAGAAGATGTACTCTGGTATTTCCAGAGGGAACGCAGCCACCGTGACCTCAAATGGCTTTCCTTCAGGCCGGCTCAACCTAAATGAACAAATACAATATAAATATCTCCAACAGTTCAAAAATATATATATTTGCCACCCCTACATTTCTGAAAAGGTTCATTCATCAAGTGAAACTGAAATATTATCAAGCTAAGTTGAAACATACTTCCCCGGAACAAACGTGAAAGAGCCCTCCACAGATCCGGGACTGTCAGGCAGAGGCGTGCAACTCTCATACACAAACTCTTCCTGGCCTGTAGTTAGTAGAGGGTACTGCACAGAACATGCCAAGCAGAATATGAACTATACTTTGCGTTTGAAATGTATATGTGCATGCAAAAACACATAGTTTATGGAGTGCTCTTCTTGCTTCCCGCATACCTTCCCAATAACACCTTCCCCGTTCACATCAGAAACAACCCGGTCTCTCCATCGGATGATCCAGTGGCGCGAGTAAAGCTGGCACGAGGAATAGTACACACCACCTAGCATGCATGCCTCTGGAACTGACAGGCGAATGGAGTATGCATATAAACATTTAGCCCCAGGCCGCCTACTTTCAGGGTGCTCTGGTGCAAAGACAGCAGATGCACGTACCTGAAAAAATATCACATGTTAGCCCAAAGCTCCAATGAAATCAATCACATGAATCATCTATGTTTATATGCTGCTGTCATGAGAAAAACAGCATGTTGAAAGCAGTAGAGTAGGGAATGCAATGCCGCATTGCTGCATTTGAAATTACAACAGATAAATACGTAAACTATTACAGATGCCTTTCTTGTACAGAGAATATCAAAGAGGAAGTTATCCCATGTAACTCATCATGCTCAATTAAATTAAATGATGAGGAAATCTTTGGACAATCTCACCTTCACACCATTTGTCATTGCGGACGTACATGATGGGGATGCTTCTGGAAATAAGCTGATATACCTTGACGTCTTAAGCATACGGATCTTGATCATGCCATTCTGTAAACGCCTAAGATGCTCTTCTAACCACAGAAGCAATCCATCTTGGGGCATATCAGTATTAGTTGGCCTTATCAGTGATTTCGGTACACATGGCAACATTTCTCCATCTTGTAAATTGATGGTGCCAACATAGAGTTGGTCATCTGAACAATTAAGGAAAAATGTTTTTGGACGATACCATGAAGTTGCCACTATAATGAGATTTGTCATATTAAAAACACCTTGGTCATAGAACTCACGATAAAATTCTTTCGTCTCTTCAACAATTTGCTCAAGTGGTGACAGGTGAACATTGATCAAGTGGTCATAAAACACATAGCCTCCTATAATACCAAGATGAGCCATTCGCATATTCTCGTGATGATGTTCACTAAGGGGCAGCTGACCATTGCAAAAACGATAGAGCAGCTTTGTCGGCAAAGGGAGCTTGAATCCAAGATCATCCTCTGCTGATTGTATCTGAGCTTCAGAAACACCTTTATTCAATGTCTTGTGTGCTTCAGGGAAGTTTTCAGACAGCCAGCTCTTCAGCGAACTCCAGAAAATTTTCACTCTCCTTACCAGAGGTAAAGGATACATGCCAAAAGACTCCAACCAAACTTTATAGGCATCCTGTAAGATCAACTGAAGTTTGTTATACAGAACTCAACCAAGTAAATGTAAATTAACATATATAGTCGTTTGTAAAAATAATTTGAAATACATCATGAATAACCAGTCAATGAAAAAAGGAACATTATTGCACAAATTTTGAGGTTAACAACTGGACATTAACAAACAGAGAAACAAGTCTTGCACAAATGCAACCTATATTTCTCCATAATCATCTACTTATCTTTTTTTTTTTTGGCAATCAATAGGATGTAGAATGCAACCAAATCATAAGCACAAGAGAATAACAGGTATAGTGCAGTTCAAGCAATTTCTTCATCCCTCTTACCCTTCTGACCACACTACCACATGAAAAAAAATTCCCAGAGGAATTTATGCTCTTAAAAAATGAGAAAAATCATTATAAACAACCTAACAAGTGGACCAAACCTTGTACCATTTTCAAATAAACCTGTTTCATCACTCCCTTCCAGTCCACGCATCTTGTTGTCAATCATAACCGTGCCACACCCCCTAACTTGGCTAAACCACCATCAACCCGCCGACCCTACTTTTTACCGCCTTGTGCCTCCAACCTTGTCCTCCCACTCTATTCCTATCTGCCTGATGACTGTTGACTCTGGAGGCCAAAATGGGGGCAAAAGAAGCCAAGCCACATCAGTGTCTAGAGATGCGTGATGAAATGGGGAACTGTCACCACAGCCTGGCTCACAAAGGGAAATGCCATCACATTGTTCAAAAATTGAATTCTTGGATTTGGAAAGACAAAAGGACTACGAACAATAAAATTCTTGAATGCACACAAAGGGTTTAGGTGATTAGGACAAGGGACCAGATGTTTAAAGTATCTAAATATTCATTGCATAATCGTTTACTACTCTCTTCTGTAAGATTGTACAAGTATTCACTCTTGAGTTCTTTTTTATCTTTTAAATCACGCAAGAAAACACTGAGACAATAAAATAAATAAACTAGTTCCACAAGCCCACCCTTCGATCCTCTACACAACTCTTCCAATACTTCTCCATAATTCTCATAAACTTGTAATTCATTGCTGTGTGTTCTTGAATCTTGATCCAACATCTATTTGTTGGCCATACGTATGATGAAGCAGGCTCTAAATTTCTAAAATGAAGGATCAAAGTTTCTTCTCGTAATAAATCCCAAATGGACAATCATAAAGTGCTTTCCATGGTAACATTAAAAGTAAAAAAACAAAGCAAATAAACATATAAATGATCAAAGCGCCGTCTCTTCCCACAAGCTAGGTTGCAAACGAACTCATCCGAATCCCGACCACATCACGAATCAAACCGAACGAGGCCAGCCCAACCCAACCCAACCCAACGGGGGGCGACGGGGGGTTTCTGCGGATTCCGCCTACCTTGAAGGAAGGGAGCGCGCGGCCGTCGGGGGCGAGCGGCGCGTGGAGGGCGAGGTCGTCGGCGCAGAAGCGGCGCCACAGCGCGTCGTCGCCCGCGGCGTCGCGGAGGCGCGTGCTGGCGCAGGCCAGCGCCGCGGCCTGGCGCGCCCCGGCCTTGGCGATGACGGTGTCCAGCGCGAGCCCCTCCAGCGCCTCCAGCCCCGCGCCGCCCGCGGCGGGCTCCGGCTCCGGCTGCGGCTGCGGCGGCGCCGCCATCGAGATGGGGGAGATGGCCGCCGCGGTGTCAGAGATCAGAATGGGGAGAAGAGGAGGAGGAGAGAGAAGCTAGAGAGAGAGAGAGAGAGAGAGGGGGGGATTTTCCCAATTCCCAGCATATCTGCCATATATTCGGAGGAGCCGCGCGTGGGCCCCACATTTAATAAAAGGATAAAAATAATGAAAGATGTACGGAGTCTCTCCGTTGAATAAACGGGGTATATACGGCTCAGAATGTGTACAACTCTCTGTTTTTGCCTTTTTACCACTCATCGTCTTATTTCAAAATTCAATGTAAATAAAAAATACTACTTCCTCTGTTTTATTTTGTAGGTCGTTTTGAATTTTTTTTTAAGTCAAACTTTGTTAAATTTGATCAAGTTTATAAAAAAATAGCAATATCCAAATTAGTTTCATTAAACATAGCATTGAATATATTTTGATAATATGGTTGTTTTGTATGAAAAAGCTATCATATTTTTTATAAACTTAGTTAATTAAAAAAAGTTTAACTAGAAAAATTAAAACGACTTATAATATGAAACGTAAAAGGGAAGGAGTATAAATAATATAAAAAAATAAAGTATTTAAAGTACCTATAATAATAAAAAACAACAAAACAAATGATACATATAAGTATGTATTTGTTGAAAAATAGTGATGACGCTATTGACTTCTACGTATACATTTATTTGTCTTCTTTGAAAATTTTGTACAAACATGTAAAAACATAAGTTATTAGTTATATTTAAAGTATCTTTAATTTCAATAAATAAAATAAGTCACCACAAAAGAAATGCTCTTTCTGTCTTAAAATAAAATTAGTTATGCATTTTGGCGAGACTTTCATCCAAAGTTTAGTGAGTTATTTGGACTTTTTCCCATTTAAGAAAATGATTAATGGTGGTGAAACTTTATACTATCTAAAATTAACAATGTCCTCCACTTAGAAATAAAGGTAATATTTGCAGTACAAACCACAAATACTAGTAATATGTCCGTGCTAATGCTACGATGATATTTGATGATGCAAATTTATTCTCAACTATTATAAAAATTGAAGATGTTTGCACCAGAATTTTGGTACGTCATTCGTATTGGAATTGGTTTTAATTTTATGTATCTATCAAGTCCATTCCTTTTTTCTTACGTCAGAGTGTCCCTCTTATCCGAGACGCGTATGAATTAATTAGGCTAGCACCTTTTCACGCGCCCCTTGCCGCTTGCAGCGATCAGGTCCACATGCGCCTTTGTGCGCCGCTGTGATTGGACCCACAACGCCCTCACGCATGATTTTTTTTGCATGCCTGATTGGGTCCGCGACGTCCTCGTAAATCTACCTTATTAGCATATAAGCACTTTAAGGGAAAAAAACGAGATTCCCACTTGATTTAATCTTTGGTAAAAAAAATACAGATTCCTACATGATTTGATCTTATCATGCCTCTATTTACCGGGGCTTTTAACTATTTGCCACTTTTAGATTTGACCAATAACTATTTGCCACCCCTATCTCAATGACATGTGGGTCCACATGTGTCTATGACATGTGGGTCCAGTGGCAAAAAGTTAATTGCCACATCTAAATGTGGCAAATGGTTAAATATCTCTTTATTTACCTGCATGATATCATCAGGCTTTCATTTACCTATATCTTCTTTAAATTTATTGGACAACCTGATCGCAAATAAATGACATATATTTTAGTTGTGATAATTAAGAATTAACATTTAGTTACCAGACGTCCATCATTGATATTATTTGGATGCGAATCGACGCCCATACCTCATGAGCACATGGGATTATGGGAATGAGGATATGAAGAGGAACACTCCTACAGACCTACTCCCTCCGTCCAAAAAAAAATAAACCTTGGTTTCCATGCCCAATGTTCGACCGTTCGTCTTATTTGAAAAAATTATGAAAAAAATTAAAAAGACAAGTCACGCATAAAATATTAATCATGTTTTATCATCTAACAATAATGAAAATACGAATTATAAAAAAATTTCATATAAAACGGATAGTCAAAGATGGACACGGAAACCCAGGATTTGCCTTTTTTTAGGACGGAGGGAGTAGGGATGAAATGCTCCAACAACGAATGGCATAAGTACAGCAGAGCCATAATATATATAAGTGGCCATCGTTCCATTTTACTGCCCACCGATAGGTGGAAGGCTAGCAAGCCAAGGAAGGGCTATATACCTCTCAGTTCTCACAACTATCTTTTTATGAACCCGTGGGCTTTTTTAAGCTAAACCTCAGAAGACAATAGGGAAAGCATGTTTTTTATTTAAGAATAAAAGACTTGGCCTATTATTTTAGGAAAAATTGGACCAAAAAACTCACAAACATTTGCCCATAAACCTGTGGACTAAATATTGTAGTGTAAACTTATCTGTTGCAAGCAGCATCAGAGTAAATCCACCCTATCCTAAACCTTTCTTACATGCATATTGTTAGTTTGTACCAAACACAAGAAAATAAATTACTCACTTTAAAACCAACTAAAAAATACATATATGCCCACTTTCATCCATTAAAGGCATAGCTGCAACTTATAAATCTGAACTGTACATGTATGTGTCAACCATGAGTGTACAATCGAAAGGGGAAATAATGGAAAAACAGTTAGAAGAAATTATGCCATGGCCTTGCCTCCATTTTCTCTGCACTGTGGGTTATGCATTTTGGCGAGACTTTCATCCAAAGTTTAGTGGGTTATTTAGACTTTTTCCCATTTAAGAAAACTAGGAAGGTAGCCCGCGCATCTGCGCGGGCATCTTATTTAAACCATCATAATTTGTGTTATTAGGATTGTGAAATTTTATGACTTTGCCTCTCGGTGAAAAAAAATTAAAGGTTCCTTCATAACACATGATTGAAAAAAAAAGAATAGAAAAGTTACAAAAATATGATAGGAATACTTGTGTAAAATAGAGTATTGAAAAGAACGGATGTTTTAATGGAGTGTAGACAATCACGGGAATTGAAAATTTATTAACCCACCTAGATCAAAATATCATCTATCATGCATAAATCATAACCAAACAAACTTTCCATTAGCAGCTTGATTGCCTAGATGCTATGTGAAGGAATAAAACATGCACAGACATCTTGTTTTTATTTTATTGCCGTGGGGATATACGACGACTTTTACTTAAGATGTTATTTGATAATACTTTAAATATATGATATTTGTCCTAAAAATGTTTTTAAGTAGTTATGATACTTTCTAGATTGTATAGATTTATAAACCACCAAGATTATTATTTATAGCTCACTCTATCGGCACTTTTTGTTAATATCGTTTAAAATTATACAACTATATCCTTTTCTTTTGAATATGAGTGTTTGATATTTTCAAAATTAAATGTTGAGGGTTAGTTATTCTAACAATCATTGACATATTTAATTAGGCAGTAAAGATTAAAATCATAATTATATTCTATATGATGACTGAGTCCGGCATCATAACATTATGCGTGCATTATAACTCGTCACATGTTCTAAGTATTTTCTTATTTATAAAGATATAAAAAATATATACTTCAAACTGATAATTTGTATATTTTGATATGAGTGCACAATAAAGCACATTTGAGCAACATAACCATTTATTTATATTAAAAGGTTGAAACTGTACCTCCATTATTTATAAGAAAGGCAGTGATTAATGTAAACTTAGTCCTTAAAAATCTACTTACTACTCCCTCCGTCCCATTTTCAAGTGCAACCATGATTTTTCGTGATCAATTTTGACCGTCCGTCTTTTAAAAAACTTAAAAAAAATTAAGAACATAAGTTACATATAAAGTAACTATTCATGTCTTATTATCTCATAATAATAAAAATACTAATTATAACAAAAAAATCCAAATAAGATGAACGATCAAAATTGGGCATGAAATTTTATGGTTGCACTTAAAATAGGACGTGGGGAGTACGAAACAACTTATGTGTCATTTTTTTACTTTTAACCTAATTGAATTATTTAAAATTCTGTTGTATGTAAGATATGTGCTATGTACATATGAATGTTGGAGAGGGAGGAGTGATTATGTACGGGAGGGAGTGGGAGGTGGAAGGGATTTGTGTTTTGAATGATTGATTTAATGGTTAGAAATAATGGGTCCACCGATTTAAGTTAGAATGGATAGCTAAGTATTTTTCTTTTTTCTTATAATTTTTATATGATTTTTTCTAATTTATTAAAGTTTCATGTAGCGGTTTAGGAGCATTCAGCATGATGTTTAATGGACTTAATTTTTTTTGCGTGTTTCTTGCATGGTCTAGGTAGAAAATGATTTTTTTTTCCTTCAGAATTGCTATGACATATTTGTGGAAACCAAAGGATAATACAGTGATGAATCAATAAGGAATTCAAATTGCATACTGTTTTTTCTATCCTATAATCCGAAGCTTATAGCTTGATTTTTAATTTTAAACCCTAAATGTAGCTTTGATTTATTTTTTTGATTTCAGAATGTAAAAAAAAACAGATATAGAGGGTTGTGAGGCCAACGTGTTTACGTACTTACATACAGTGCTTATGTGCACGTGTATTTAGTGATTTTTAGCGATAAAATTAACTGTTAGGTTTTCATGATAGATCTAATGGTTTCTAACGGTGTACTTATTTTTTTTATTTTAGAAAGAAAAAGAAAAGAAGAAGAGGGACATGAGGCCAGCTGGTTACGTACATACGTACGTGCTGTGCTTGTATGTATGCACGTGTACGTGAGATCGATGGAGATAAATTTAATTGATCGTTTTTTAAAAATAGATATAATGGTTGGTAACAATGGGTCTATCGGGAATAAATTAAAAAAATCGACGGTTAGATGTTTTGCCTTCTTTTGATTTTTTTTAGAAATAATTATAGTGTCACGTGGAGGCTTACGAGTATTTGTAGGGTTGCTATGTGGCGGCTTAGGAGCGTTTATAGTAAGTTTAATGGACTTTTATTATTAAAAAAAAGATAACATAACATCAATTATATACATGTAAGTCCCATGTGCTGGTGCTGTGATGTATTTTGGATCATAGTCATTTTAAGTAAAGGAATACAATAGTATCACAAATTGAATATAAATTTAAAATAATTTAAAAGATGGAATGTTTAAAGAGCGTTGATTGGATATTTTATATTTATATATTATAGGTGTAATTTAACTACGTATATTTGCGTAAATTTGTAAATTGTATGAAATAACGTCGATTTTTCTTTGGAACGGTACTACGTTCTTTTTTTTCTTTATTTTTCTCTATCTTATAAGTACATGCACATGGTCTTCTTTTTCTTGCGGCAAACAATTAATGGTTTAGCTTTTTTTTTCTTTGTCGTACGTACGGCGGCAAACAATGGTTCAGCTTTTTTTTTTAATCGTACGTACGTGGGGAAGGTATTTATCCTTTAGGCAACACTTATATATTTCTCCTGTAGAAGGAATGTATTATTTTTTAATAACAGATGCAATCTAATGGTCTAAAATATTGGGGCCACCAATTTAAGTGAAAATCAATGGTGAGATTAGATAGTGCTATGTGGCGATCTAGGAGCGTTTGTAGGATTGCCACGTGGCAGCTTAAGAGCGTTTGTAGAAAGTTTAATTTAATGGACTTTTAGTATATAATAGATAGATAGATAGATGATTAATGGTGAAACTTTATACTATCTAAAATTAACAGTGTCCTACACTTATAAATAAAGGTAATATTTGCAGTACAAACCACAAATATAAAATGGATAACGCCATTCTTCTTCCATCGATAATAGTAGTAACAAACTTCTCGGAATTATAGTACTGATGATCCGGCTATTACCGGCGGCGACACTAACTCCGGCGACCACCGCCGACTCGACGCCGCTGAGCACCTATTTTCTCCGGCCATGAGCGCCGGCGGCGGCGCCGCCGTTGAGCGCGAGCACCGCCGACTCGACGTGGTCCAGCAGGTACCCGAAGATCTTCTTCCTCAGCCGCTCCGCCGCCTCCGACGGCGGCGCCGGCGCCCCGTCCAGCCAGTCGTTCACCCGCTTCAGCTGCCCCAGCGTCCCGGCGGCGTCGCCGTCGATCAGCCGCTCCACGTGCCCGACGAACCACCCGCGCGTCTCCTCCCCGACCTCCCTCGCCGCCGCCCCCAGCCACGTCGTCCTCCTCCTCCCCGCCTCCTCCTCCGGCTGCGACGTCGGGGAGACTGCAGAGTAGAGGGAGAAGCGGCCGAGGTCGGAGCTGACCGCCGCGCGGAGCCAGTCCTCGGCGTGGCCGGCGGCGGCGGAGCGGGCCAGCGTGGCTTCCAGGGCGAGGAACTCGTCGACGGTCTGCTGCGGCGACATCTCCGCCGCGACGGCGGCGAGGTCGGCGAATGCACTGCATCGATCAAACAGAGAGCCTCATCAGAATGCCATCCGAGTGACAAATGCAGCTTAGGTCTGCTTGGACGAAGGGTTTAATTTTACAAACTTGGAATGCAAAAAGTTTTCGAGGAACGAAATTTCGAAAATTGTAAAGAAGTGTTAGAAATTTTGGAAGAAGTTCAGAAGTTTGAACGAAAAGTTTAAATTTGAACAGATTTTTCGCTGATTTCAAAATCTTTTCTCAATTCAATCAAATTTCAAAATTTTGGCTAGAGCCTAGAGCTACACGCCTACACCCAACCTTTCTAGCACCCACTGGTAGACACAAAATTTCAGAAATTTCGAACCAAAGTTGTGAACCCTGCTTGGACTCACATTGTCTTCAAATCAAGCAATGCATTATGTGCAAAATAATGTTTTAGGATCAAACCAATCTTTCAATTGTTTTCAGTGGTAAGTAAGATTCAAATTAGTAGCATACAATTTGATGAGAATTCAGATGTTGTGATCATGAAGGAAGGGCACTAAACCTCAAACACCGGAGCAAAATCTCAGCAGAAGAAGCTTCTTGCAAGGCCTCAACGGCAGCAACCTCTGCAGCATCCCGGTAACTCATGACTTCCTGCACAACATCCACCATATCAAATTCCAACCATGTTACACAAAACACGACGTTCCCGAATTCACATTCTCACAATTTATTGCAAAACTATATGTATCGATCGACAATCGCATCGCGCAAAAGTCAAAAGCCAATTCGGTTTCAGAATGAACAATGTTACCAGCCCGATGCTCTGGAGATCTGATGGAAGCGACTCCCAGGAGGCGCCGATCGTCGCCGGCGTCGTCTTCCTCGGAGGAGATTGTCTGACCATATTGTTCAGTGATACATTTCTGGGAGCCTTTTCAGTGGTCTTGCTTGCAGCAGTGTTGGGGATTCTTCTGTCCATGGAAACATCTTCTCCTGCTTTTGGAGGTGAACCTGAGACTGCCTTTGTCTTGGAATTGGATGTGATCTTGGTTTTGGTCTCCCTCTTTGGATGCTGTTTATCCTGATCTGCTGGGATTCTTCTTGGAACCTGAATATGTTGTTATTTAGAGCTGTTATTTCAGTTGCTATTGCAATCTTTGTTCAGAAATATAGTGACCAATCACAATTCTGTCAATGTGTGACTTTACTGGTAAGATATTTTTCAGCATGAATGAATTCTGAACTTCGGCATCTGGAGAAGAAGGGCACAAAGCATATGGCATTATTTGGAGAAGATCATATTGCGTCGCATCATTTTATTGTAAGAGTGAATGTTAATTATGTTATTTGTTTCAGTGCAACTTTATCATAGACGAAAAAAATACTGCTTCACCGACAGGTGAAACCAAGGAGAGACAAACTTGCTGTTGTGACCTAATGACAGTAGAAAAGGCAGAGATCTGGCACAGAGCCATGAAATCTTGTTAGGTACAACTAATTCCTTTTATGTTTCACTCAAAGGGAATCACTCAAATCAGCAAAGCCAAATCATTCCATTATAATAAATCGTAAAAAATTGCTACTGAAAACTTTCTGACTTCATGCTCTGGTTGGAGAAATGATCAGGTGTGATGTCCATGTCAGCCCAAAGTTACATGAATGCGTCACCAGTCACCACTAGCCAATATATATCAGTGATGACTGATGAATCAGAACACAGTAATTAACTAATTAAGTATGCATTTTCAGAACAATCAGATAGATGACTTGTTACCGGACATTTGTCATGGGAACCGAGATGACTGACAAGAAAGATGGGTTCTAATTCCAGGTTGTCCCTTATGTACATTTTTTAAATGCAATGCAAATGGTTATAAATTTTTTTTAACGATATACAGTACTGTGACATCTATCACTCACCAACAGAACTGAAGATATACTTTATATGTTTTGTTTCTATATGTGTGAGTTGCTTTTAAAATTGAAATACTATGGAGTGGCATATTTATATATTGTATAAATGCTGTCAAATATTTTGAGAATTTTTCATAACCATTTTTATGGTATTTGGAGAAGTGGGGAGACATCGTCTCGAGGTATCAAAAGAGGAAAAGAAGTTTCCTGAATGATAATATTGGTAAGAGCTAAAATTCATAAAAAGCAGTTTTTTTTTCAAAAAAATGCTCGCCGTAATGTTTCAATTGAACCACGTACAAGTAATGAATCAAAATGTGTGCACTGAGTCTCACATGGATTGCGCTTAATGAAATGACAAGAAAAAAAATATACATGCAACAAAAAAATCTTAGTGTTCTCATCATATTCAGCTATTTACAGCAAAAATCATATATAAAACCACCTTTCATCCTAGGAAAAAAATTTCAGTGAACCAGTCTTAACATAGTTGCATATCACATATAAATTTAAATGTTTTTCCATCCTTAAAAAAAATTGCATCTTATTTAGCACTGCAAATTTCGAGCCTAGTACAATTGCACAATGCTAGAATATAAAGTGAACTGTATTTTCTCATCAGCTTGAGAATTTGGATTGAACCGTATATATGCAACTCAATACGATTTTATAGTAAGAGGTCTCGATTTTGAATCGATGTACAAATTCTTCATCAACTTAAGTTTTTGGTTGAACTGGTCAAAAAACACAACTTCAATCAAAGACAAAAAAAAAATTATTCCCTCTATTTCATATTATAATACTTTCTAGCCTTGTTCACATTCATATAGATGGTAATAAATCTATATACATATAGCATCTATACGAATGTGAACAATGCTAGAAAGTCTTATAACCTGAAACGGAGGTGCAAAACTAAAACTCACCGAGCTACTCCGAACTGGAGCCTTCACCTCGCCGGCCACGGCGACGGCATCACCCCGCCGGCGATGATCACCGCCCTCCTTCTCCTCCCCATCGCCGCCTCCGCCGCCGCTGCCACCTGTTCCCCAACCCCAGCTCCGCCTCAGCCCCTTCGGCCCCAACGTCGCCGGCGATCCTCCATGCAGGCTCCTCATCCCCCTCGTCCCAGCAACGGAGGCCGGCCGTGCGGTCGCCGGCCTCGCCTGCTGCGACGACGAGGACGACGACACCGCACGCGAAGAACCAGCTCTCCTCGTCGCCGACGAGGAGGAGGAGGAGGACAGCGTGGTGGGAGTCGGAGCGAACCTCACCGTGGCCGTCGTCGTCCTCCGGTCGACGTCGGCGCCGCCGCTGCTCCGGAGAGAAGACGATGACATGTTGAGCGAGGACGACATCCTCCTGACGTCCATCGCCGCCACCGTCGTCGTCTTCGTCTCCGGCCGCCTCAGCGCTGGCTTCTTGGGTCTCTCCATGGATGTGGAATATGGATCGATCGATGCCGACCGAATTGTGACAGGTTAATTTCTCGAGATTTTTGGCGGCAGATTAGCTACCTGCCTATGCTAGATGTGCTAGCTACCTCACTATGAGTGTGTGTGAGTGTGTCTTGGCATCTTGCTCATATATAGAAGCTAAAAGACTTGAGATAGATGGCTTAATTGGTCAGTGGTTAAGCACTAGTGCTTGTAAACAAGCTGGTATGTGAATATAACCATTGTTAGCAACTAGCTAGGCAGTGGAAGGTGTGGTGATTATTAACCAAACCAGGAAGATAGCCCGCGCATCGCGCGGGCATGTATTTTAGGGTTGTTTTTTTACACACGTTTGATTATTCATCTTATTTAATATTTTTATATAAGTCTAAAAATATAAGATATGTTTAACTTACCTTTAATGATAAACCAAGTCACAACAAAATAAATGATTATTATTACCTTTTTAATAGAACTAAATGGTCGAATGTGCGTAAAAAATTGAACGGCGTCGTCTATTAAGAATCGAATATTACAATTTCTTCAAAATTATTCTTTAGTGTGATTGCTTATTTTTAAATCTATTTGTTAGATATACATGTTTATAGATTAATCCTCACTCTGTCCCAAAACATACATATCTTTAGATTTTGGGACGGTCTTTAGGATGCTATTTTGACTAGTAATATGTATATTTATAAAAATAAATTATTCTATAAAAGAGTTACATTGTATTTAATATCAATTTTACGTGATTGATCTTTTATTTATTTTCCTATAAATAGTAAAAGTTAAAATGCTTGACTTAGCACTATTCTGAATATGCTTATATTTTAGAATGGAGTAAATGTATGGTAGCTTAATCAACATATTAAATTGTTCTATAATATTTCACGATTTGTTTGTAGCATGCAAAGGTAAAGAAATACATGTGCCATATATTTCCTACAATATAACTCATAAAATTAGGCTTAATTAATAATAATAATAATAAATATTTTTTTATATATTTAGTTGTTAGCTTAGAAAATAGGAGATGAGATGGGAGGGGAGAGTCAGAGAGGGCGGGAGTATACATACGTGCGCTAATTAGGGGGAAAGGCAGTATGTAACTTTTTTTTTAAGAAACAGTACGCTACTTTTTTTCCCCACAGCCGGTTTATACCATATAAAACATAATAGATCTAATAACTAATTTAATTAGTGGGTCCATCTTTAAGTGCCACATGGCATCTTAAGAACGTTTATAGGAGTCCTATGTGGCGGTTTAAGAGTGTTTATAGGATGTTTAATGGACTTTTAATATATGATAGATAGATAGATAGATAGATAGATGAGGGATGGCGATTAGTAAAGCTTTCAATACAAGTAAGGGCCATGCACGAATGTATTTGTCATGTAATAGTAACAAACTAAACTACTCATAAGTATAAATCAATTTTGCTATATATTTATCGGCAAATTTTCTTCTAAAAATTTAACAGATATACCGATAGTATAATTGTAGTGTAATTGCATTGTAACTTACATATATAATTATGGTTGCGTTCGAATCTCCAAGAATTGTTGGATGAAATTTTAGATTCTCCTAGCACGCTTTTCAAATTGCTAAACGGTGTGTTTCGTGCGAAAATTTTCTATATAAAAGTTGCTCTAAAATATCATATTAATCCTTTTTTTAAATTTGTAATAATTAAAACTCAATTAATCATACGTTACTACCATCTCGTTTTGTGTGAAATACTTAATCTTCATCTTCATCTTCAAGAGATTCAAAAACCACCTATAATATAACTTGCATGTAACTTTTACCTAATTTCGAACAGTTAGATTTGTTTTAAGATTCGTACAAGCGAGTAAGAAAAAAAATCCCAGTGTGAGCACATGTGAAGGATTTTGTCCCGCAACTTCTGTTTTATGAAAATAGTTATATATGAATTACAATACAATGTAATTACACCATGATCGAATTATAATTACATATATCGAAAAATGTATAGATTGTCTCTATGTAAATGAAGCAAAAAAAAGAGCCAAATTTTTTTTCGGGGGGAGATCCAAACAAATTGGGGTAGAATTTTTTGTAAATGGAGGTATAAAAACTAATCTCCTAAGTAGGAGTAGGATTGTAATTTCAACTTTTATTCTGTTCTTGAGTATTTCTTCCATAGTTAGTGTTATTAAAGAGGTAGAAATATAGAGGGCATATCCGGTAAAAACGAGCTAAGTATTGGAAACTCGTGAAAACTATACCTAAAAGTTTTATAAATTCATGAAAAAAATTGCTAGAGATAAGTGTAGATATGAAATACATTCTCACCAAATTTCAAATCCAAAATCAACTTCGTTCAAGAGAAATAAAAACAATTTTTGGGTGAATAGTGTCCTGTTACTATTCACCTGAAATTTATTTATTTTTACTCCTAAACAAATTTGAGTTTGAAATTTAAATTTTGTGAGAACGTATTTCATATCTAGATCAATCTATAGTATTTTTTTCATGAATTTACAAAACTTTTAGGTATGATTTTCACTAGTTTTTAACACTTAGCTCGTTTTCACCGGATTTGTCCTCATAAATATACTAGACATGTTAGTAGAAAGATATATCTCTATACCTAGAGATTAGAATCCACATTTGCATATTTCTCTCTAAATATATACCAGCTTAAATATTTTAGTAGTGTAGAGTTATTTTCCTCTCCTAAAATAAAACCTCAGTTTATTCTAGTATTGTTAGAAAATAAATTTTGAATTTAATTAAATTCAGCTAAGTGATTTAACTATAGAGAACTATAAAAGCACATAATACAGTTCGAACAGGATAATTAAGGAAGCTGGCGTCATCTTACGTATCCCCTTTCTCCTCGTAAGCCTAGCACCATTACGCACCCACCCCTCACTTATCTCGCGTGTTGACGATGACATAGATATCGACGTTGGTCGTGTCAGCAGCAGCAAGGAGCGAGGGTCGAGCCGAGGGGAAGGGAGAAGAGAAGAGGAGGTGTTAGTGCTAAACGGCTCGCTATCGGGCCAAGCAGCACGCTTGCACCCCCTCTCCTCAACAGACTTGATACCTTGTAGATACCAGGCCTGGTACCTATGGGTATCAGCCGAGATACCAAAGATATTAGGCCTAGTACCTATAGGTATTGTGTCTAATACCTGGGATGTATCAGTTGTGATACAACATGCACCAGACATGGTATCTATGAGTACCAACTGAGGATGATACATCGCATGACGTATGTGCGCATGAGGAGCAAGATGGCTCGCCACTACGTCACTATCAATCAAAACTCTAGATCCATAAGCTTCACTGGCGACACCCCTCCAATACCGTTGACAACCTAGAAGGAGGAGCCCACACTAGTCAATGTCCTTCTCGATGGCCTATCTTTTTTCTAGTTACCCCCTTCCGCCCTGTGAGCTAAATTAGCATAAGACAGAGAAAGAGGCCACAAAAACCGGTGTTTATGAGTTTATCAATCGTTCTTTGTTGCCGACATGCACTTGGATCAGATCCAATAATGGATATGGCCTAGGTCTGTAGATCCAACTTCGGTGGCCCACTCCTCTCCAGTCATGCTTGCGTAGAGAAAGCTCTCCACGGGAAGGAGGAAAGGGGGAGCACAGGGGAGGAGAAAAACAAGAGCGAAATATGACATTTATTAATACGTATTCCATCCGTCCCATTTTAAGTGTAGTCATGGTTTTCCACACCCAACTTTGATTGTTCGTCTTATTTAATTTTTTCTTTTAAAAAAAACTGAAAACACAAGCCACAAGGAAAGTATTATTCATATTTTATCATCTCATAACAACAAAAATACTAATTATAAAAAAATTTCAAATAAGACGGACGATCAAAGTTGGGCACGGAAACTCATTATTGTACTTAAAATGGGACGATGGGAGAATGATAATAGCTAAGTCTATGCCTACATAATAAAATTTTTAATAAAATTTTCTCTAAATTATTTCTTTGTATCTAGGGGTGAAAACGGTACGGAAACTTTTCGGATTCCGGACCTATTTTCGGAAACGGAATCTGTCGGTCGGAATTTTTTCGGAATTTTTCGGAAACGGAAACGGATTCAGAAATATTTTCTCGGAAACGGAATCGAAAATGATAATGGCAGTTTCAGTCGGAACTCGGAATCAGTCGGAAACTTTCCGGAAATTTTCTCGGAATTTCCGGAATTTTTCTCGGAATTTCCAGAAATCACAAAATACCTTGGATTCTTTTTTTTAAGCACTGAATAGTTAATACCATGGTGTTTGGCTGTTATTTTTTTAAAAAATATTTGTTATGCAAATATAAAATTACATAAGAATATTTTTTCCTACATTGGGATTTATCAACAACATTATTAATTTATTCCATAGATTGTGTTTTATGATGTACTGTTGATACTTAACAATTGGACTTATATGATTGTGTTTTATGATGAATTGTTGACCATTGAGACTTGAGAATTGGGTTTATCAGTTTAAAGGTTTTTTTATTCCGATAAATTTTCGTTACCGTATTCACGCCGGTTCGTTTTCACTCCGTTTTCGGTTTCGATAATATTCGATTCCGTTTTCACATCCGGGGTTTCCGATTCCGGTTTCGATTTCGAAAAAAAATATAAAAAACGAAAACGATAAATATAATTCCCGTCCGTTTCCGTATTGTTTTCACCCCTATTTGTATCAGTCTATCCGGAGCTAAATTCAAAATGGGCGAGCCTTATTTTTCAGCGTGTCAACCTTGACTGGTATTTTTTTTTTGTCTGTTAGTGATGCCAACAATGCCATCCATCGATCTCCTCGCGCACACCGTTGATAACTTGATACTCTCCCGATTTGACGAACGCAAAGCACGCACACGATGAGGCTCACGACGAAATCGAAAAGCCGCTGCTTAGACTGAACACACCACACACGAGCACGAGCACGGAGAAGTCGAGAGAGAGAGAAGAGAGATGGTCCTCCCCGTCCTCGCGCCCCTCGCCGGCGCCACCGCCGTCGCCTTCCTCCTCTTCAAGTTCGCCACCGTCGATGGTAACCCTTCCCATCTCCTCCCTTCATTCCTCCCCCTTTCTTTTAGTACACCCAGCGGCTTGTTTGGGTGGGACTAATCCAATCCTCCTTGTGGTGTGGTTTTGGGGCCGGCCGGGGCGCAGGGGATTTCACGCTGGTCTCGCGCGGGGCGCCGCGGCGGGAGAAGGTGGACGGGAAGGTTTGGTCTTCTTCTTGGGCTTCTTGTGATTTGCCTCTCGTTGGGTGGTTTTTTTTTTTTCGCTCTCTCTAGATTTGACCTGCTTCGCTTTTGGTTTTCTTGATTGATTGCGTTTCAGGTTGTGTGGATCACTGGAGCCAGCCGCGGGATAGGTGAGTGCGGTCCTTGTTCTGCTGAATTTGCTATGAATTTGGTTTTACTGTTAAACCTTGTTTACTCATGAGTAATCACCAGTACGGCACTCGATTTATGTTCTACGGATTGGTCATTTCGTTTGATGCACGCACTGCTTATTGATAGGGTCACTATTCCCCAAATTCAGAAGGGTTGCATCCGTCAATGAAATGATACGATACATCTCTCGTTTCTGAACTTATTGATAATGATATATGATACACCTGTCATTTGTTATCTTGTTGGTAAACAATTGTGTGGTTAGGGGAGGGTGAATTGAATAGACTTGGGCTTCCTGGGTATCTGTCTGACAAGTTTTGGCATGTTCATCTATAATGTCATTATTGTGTGTCTGATTGAGTGGCAAACTGATGTTTTTTTTTTCAATAGAAATATTGTTTAAGTGTGCTTTCCATTTTCCATGGAGTTGATGTTATTTCAATCCAATTACCTAGTTCTACAAATATCTCAATTTGTACAAATTTCATATGTCTGTAGTTGCACTGGTCATATAGGCAGAGTACTTGTCCAAATCGATACTGTAGATATGTAAATAGGACTTGTATGGGAAAAGCATTGTTTCTAGAGCCTAGACTGCTAAGCTAAAGCTAGTTTATTTATGCTCTGAGCTGAATATAAGCAAACCCTTTCTGTTGCTTCTCTGTAGTTAAGTTGTTTACTAAGCCAGATTGAGGACATATGCACCAGGAATCTGTAACCTTCCTCATAAATCAGTAATATCAGCATTTGGGTGTATGTTTTATTGATGAATAGTGTTTTCAACATTAAATGGACATTCATCAATATGTTTGTCCCATTGTGCTATTGTATGGTCAATGATACTATGGACCATGCATCAATTTTGTAGTTCTGGCTATTTTTACATATGTTTTATTTAAGCTAAATAATGTGAAAGTTGCATAGTATTTCACCATAATAAGCTATCTATGGTTTATCATAATATCAGGGGAAGTTCTTGCAATGCAATTTGCTAGTTTAGGAGCAAAGCTGATACTATCTGCTCGGAACAAGGAGGAGCTTGAGAGAGTGAAACATAACATCATCAGTAAGTTGAAAAAATGATCTAAACTATTACTTTTTTATCTTTGTTTAGTGGACAGTGGAAGTCTGAAGTTCTGTTCAAGTCTAAGTTACCTTTGTTTTCCTCTTACACCAAAGACAAGCATCCAAATAGCAGAGTTGAAGTATTACCCATGGATTTATCATCGGGTGAAGAGTCTCTGAAAGAGCATGTACATGAAGCAGAGTCACTCTTCTCCAATGCAGGCGTTGACTATATGATCCATAATGCAGCATTTGAGCGTCCAGTAAGTATCATTAAGCTCATTTCTTCTTGCTTCCTAAATCCCTTCAAATCAATGGCCCATATCTTTTCTGGGTCAATTTGTTTCATTTTGTCAGCCTTTTAGGAATCTTGTAAGCTGTATATCTGCCCCTTAGCATCATATACTATGATCACTTTATGCTTACTGAATGTACAAATTTAATTGCAGAAAAGGAGGGCTCTGGAAGAAACTGAACAAGGTCTTAAGGTATAGGAACTGTGTTTAACTTCTTTCTTTCATGTATCCTTATCTGCAACCTTACTTCCTGCAAAATGTTTCTTGTTAGGCAGGCTACTTTTGATGTCAATGTCTTTGGTACTATTACTCTAACTCGCCTTCTTGCACCCTCAATGATGGATAGAGGGATGGGCCATTTTGTTGTGGTATGTCTTTACAATTCAGCACCAATCAATTGGAAGTTAGTCAACATAGTTTCATCAGGATGTTACTGTACTTAATTCATCATTTACAGATGAGTAGTGCAGCTGGAAAGGTTCCATCACCTGGCCAGGCTCTTTATTCAGCCTCCAAACATGCCCTCAATGGCTATTTTTCTTCTCTGCGCTCTGAGGTAGAATATTATGCAGTTCTTATTAAGCCTGAACAATCCTACATTGTCATAGCATGCAAATTATATGAATATGAGTTAATCACTTGTGTTAACCAAGTATTATGGCTAATTATTTCTCCCTTTTGTCAAAACTCTAGTGTGATATTTTTGTGATTAAAGGAATTTCTTATCAGTTATATACCCTTCTCTTGTCAATTGTTTAATATCTTGTATGCTTATTATATTGTATTGCAAACGGTGTTCTAAAAATCGGCTTTAGGCACTAGGCAGCCACCATGAGTTTTCATTAGGCAGCTGCCCTGCCGTGGGCGCTCTAGTGCTGTTGCATGTTACATTAATGTTCTGTTTTCTTTTATGTCATGCTTACTAATTGCTTGGAAGCCCCTGGTCAAGTTTTTTTTTTTACTGGAAGGACTGCCAGGGCTTTGCACAGCAGTATATTTTCATTAGAAAAAAAAATATAGCCCCTGGTCAAGTTGGTCCTTGGTGTTAGGAGCTAGCCCTGTGGAGTGCGGAGCATCTAACGTTGAGCGCCTTTTTGAACATTGGTTGCAAATCACAAAAAGGTTGTTCAATCTATTTATGTTTATGAACTTATCAACTATGTTTGCTGCAGTTATGTACAAAAGGCATTAAGGTTACTGTTGTCTGTCCTGGGCCGATCGAAGCACCCCAATCTTCTGGTGCAACCTCTTCATCACAAAAACCATCTTCTGAGGTTACAATTTTCTACAGACTTTCTTGATTTTTGCAGACAAACAAAAGGGTTGGTTCACTAGAGAAAGGCATGGAACTATGCAAGGGTCTTTGCTCAATCAGTATTATGATCCTAGTGCGATCCAATAGGAGCCAATTCAGCCATATACATTCGTTGCATACTTGCATTGCTATTTGTTGGAAAGGATTCAATATGAGCAAATTTAGTTTATGTGGTTCATAATATTATAATAATTTATAGTGTGTTTTATATAGACTATTTTTTTCTTATAGCTCAAAAAGTTATCTTGTGTCTAGATTTACTATAGTTCTTTTCTGGTACTTGTTATGACACATTATTTCTCTTTTCCTAAAATCTTGTAACCAATTTGCTTTACGGATTGTTAAAAGCTGGTTGTTAGTCCCTTTTATTTATCCATGATTCGCCTGCAGAAACGTGTTCCAGTTGAAAGATGCGCTGAACTGACAATTGTTGCAGCAACTCACGGACTAAAAGAAGCATGGATATCATATCAGGTTTATTTCGTTTTCAACCTATTTGCTTGTACTATGGCAGAAATTTATCATCATGGCAGAATTTTATCATCATTTACAACTTTAAAGTAGAAAACAATGCCTCATGTTTCCTTACTCTTAAATAACAGATTCATGGGTACATGTCTCTATGCTTGACTGTCTGTACCTAAACATCAAATATCAAGTTAGCCTCAAGCATGTATAAGCAACAGCATTTCATAATTCATATCACTAGCAATGGCAGCCCCCCTTACTGTTATTGCTATGCGTACTGTACTACCAGCATTGCATATAATTTATTTCAACAATCTGCAGATCTGGGTTCATATTTACAGACCATTTTTTTCAATTATATCGTCATTGTGAATTTTTTTTTGTGGTTTTGTTTGCAGCCTGTGCTAGGGGTTATGTACTTGGTGCAATACATGCCGACGGTTGGTCTCTGGCTTATGGACAAGGTATTTCCTATCTTACCATATTTTATTGTAGTCATTTTTCTTTTCATAGTGGTAAAGCTTTATCCACAACTATATCCTCTGGTCACAAGGAAGACCTTCAACATGACTTTTGAACTTGGTATTTGAGCTATTATATCATAAATATTCAGATTTTGTTACATTGAAATGACGTGTGCATATTCTTCCACATAATACTTGTGATGTTACACATCTATGAATTTTATTATGTCCCGACTTGGAGGCTGGAAATTGAAAAAAAATAATATATGTGAGTGTGCCTAGTTGCAACTTTATAGACTGCCACCATCGAGACTTGGTTAACAAAGTGTTGATAAATAGGAAAAACAAGAGAGAAAACAGTTATTTTGTTCTTTGAGTGACTACTGTTGTACAAAGTCTCAAATACATGATCATTTGTACCAATTTAGCGGTCTAAAATAAATCATAAACATTAAGCAATACACAAGGAAATTTATAATCTGAACTGTTGAGTCAATTATTTGTTGTATCTGATCACTAGTATAGAGGCGCCCTGTGCCTTTTTTTTTGCATTCTATTATTATCTTGAAATATTTCTCATCTTACAGTTTTCTCCACTATTTATTATTTAAAATTTTATACAGGTTGGTGCAAAGCGGCTGGATGTAGCAGCAAAGAAAGGCAATGCGTACGGTTGGAATCTCCTTTTCGGTGGCAAGAAGTCAGCATGATGAAGTTGTCCAATAATAGGGGAGTCAAAATGGCTGTATAAATTTGTGGATTCTGAACATACGGATTTTGGTATTTACTTTTACTACTGTTACAGTAGCACCTTACCTAAACAAGTTCTCGAATTCTAAAGGAGCCCTTGATGAACGTCTGTTAATTTTACGATATTGAGGGTGTCATGCTAACTCACCTCTCTTATTTTTGTGCACAAGCTTCCCAAGCTACTAAACGGTGCATATTTTGGAAAATGATTTCTATAGAAAAGTTGCTTTAAAAATCATATTAACTTTTTTTTAAGTTTATTTTAGCTAATACTTAATATATCATGCACTAACCGGTGCTCCATTTTACGTGTTGGGACTAACCTTCACTCCCGAACTGAGCCAAGCGTCTTAAAAACGCAGAATTCTTTGGTGTTTCGAATCGTGACAAGATGATGTTTGCTAACAACACAATTGCCAAAAATTAAAACAGCTTTCTCTAAAGCAAACAAGTCAAGCAAAATCAATGGTAATAACTTCATGTCCATGAACTGCTCTGGTATTAACAGACTTCCAGCATCAGGATGCAGTTCTAAGTTATTCCAGGAAAAATAATACACCAAAGTTTTTTTTTTAAAAAAAAATACAAGTACAAAAATGCTTGACATAGCAGCTGCTGTAAGAAAATTTTTAACTTGGCATAGACAATGCATATACAAGTGTTGCAAAAGAACCACTCTACAACATGCAGGTCTTCTTGTTCTAGTGTTTCCACCCTCTCGAGAAGCCCTCTGGACTATACGGCTCCAAGAATCCAATAAACTGTAATAAATCATGTGGTGATACGGCAGTTAAACGACCGATGTAAAACTGGAAATATTGGAGCCCAAAGCTTGCATGGTAATGGTTTAGGGTAAAGCCTTGACTTCTGTACATTTTGGTACCTTAATCATGAACAAAGGTAAAGCTTTGGGTACTACAAGATGTGTAATGTAGTGTACATGGGTACTGCAGCATGCTCTAGGTTTTGCCCACTGCAGCAACCAAATGTAAACTTCCAGCATGCATGCATGCATGAACATATCAAAATAAGTTATGGGAAAAAAGCAGTCAACTGAAGCATTTGTTTGCGCACAAATTGAAAATAACCGATGTGAAGCTAACAAGCAAGTAGAGTAGCACAAGTAGAGTGGGATGAGGACATTACTTTTGTAATTACAAACTCTTTATGGTGATATAGAGTAGTACTTTTTTTTAATGATTTTATAAGTAAAGCAAATTCGTCAGCAATTCAGAAATCCAAGGGAGCTGGAGGAATACCATCTATGGAGGATACTGCAAGAGGATAACTAGCAAAAGCTTTTCTACATTTGCATAATAAGGAACACAATAATACTGAGGGTTGTTGAAATGACATGTGACATGGTTAATTCTAAACTACCGAAAATTCTACATTTTATACCTATGCAATTTTGGAAATGAACAGGTGATATGGTAAGTTTTGAACTATACAAACTTTTACACTGTCTTCATGTCAAATTTGATAATATGGTAATTTCCTTACATTGCCGTTGAGCAAACTAACCTTCTGACACCTTTCATTTTTAGCATGACGTATAACAGAGGGTCAAACTACGAATCAAAATATATACCAGTGTCCAGGCGATTGACAACAACAAAAAAAAAGGATGATTAAAGATGCATCATTTGTTACTTCAAAAGGTTAACAGTCCAGCAGAATCACGCAAAATACACGTGTACCTTCGAGCCATCTTGAGACCATCTGGCACCATAACCTTCATGCACACGGATTTCATAAACAGGACCATAGGGTTGAGTAAGATGAATATTCATCCAACAGCATTCACGTAACAAGTGGTCAATGATTTCGGATGCAAGTTGGTTTTTCTTTACATCTGAAGATAAATAAATGGAACAGTGAACTATATGGCCATAATGCTAGTCTCCAACTGGATGAGAATTAAGCTAGGACGTATCTTTACCACTTCCGTGGAAGCTGCCCCACCATCCATCGCTACTCCTGTGAACATGTTTGGCCATTGCCCTTGCAGCATCAGTTAGAGAACAACCATTTACCTCCAATACAACAAGACATCGCCAATTTTAGTGTACAAAGGATTTTCTAAAGTGGAGATTTTGTAACTCTTGAGATAAGATGTTTGCTTGTGACATGGTGGCAAAATTGGTAGAAGCATAACCGCAGAACTTACATTTGGTTGATGTAGCTTCATGCAAGAAGATATCAGTACAGATCTTGGAGGAGGTAGTCCATCTTGAACTGTACCTGCAGTTTTCACCATACCAAGGAGTCTACCCAATCCATCAGAACCCAAGCCCTGGAAAATTATAGGAGATAAGTGAGAAAAGCAGGAGAGAAATGAAATAATGCAAGTTCCTGTGGTATAATTATTCAAGTGATGGTAACTAATGAACTATATATATATTTCAAAGACATTACTAGACAGTACAGGGCATATTATGACTACCGGTTCAGCAGAACTCTTAGCTACTGAGTTTGATATGCAAATAGGCAGGTGAGATTCCTCGTTCCGAGGGTATATGTACCAATGTCTCGAGTGATCTAATATTCATAGCAGAAACTGTAAACACATGATGAATAAGGCATGGAAGGTTTTAGAGAATCCAACTAGTTTGGTATAATATTTGTTTGAATACTTATAGAGAAAATGTTCTGGTAAAAATATAATGATACGCATTGAACCAAGAAAGGTGGCCCTCACAGCAAGAAGCTCTGTCATGATTATGTAAGGTTGAGCAGTTGGCTTTGAAACAGAGATTGCCAAGACTCCATAAAAGCTTTCCTTTTCTTCCGTATAGAATTTCCTATATACTCCCACTCCTGCATACGCAGATAAACAATCTATTGTTCAAGAATCATTTATATCAGCATATATATTTTTTTAAAAAAAACTCATATGAGAACTGAACATCATTCTTGAATTCTACATAAGCTATAATGGACTTGAGTTACTTCACAAATGTAACTCTTGTATACACAATACTCAGTACTGTCAAAAATACCCAAAAGATCTCAATGCATCAGGTGTGCAGTCTGCTTTTGCTTACACAACAAAGATTTACTCAAAATGAAGAAGGCAACATGGTGTCGTACACAATTGGAGCCCAGTTAATCTATTCAACTATGTTAATATTTCCTAGCCAAGATTAAGCTTTGTTGCTTCCAAGCAAACTATTAAGGTTGAGGCGCTTCATTTATTCTCCATATGTACATAAGAGTAGGCATCAATATTTTCCAAGCTGCTACCTTCTTATATGTTAATATTCAGGACTATATTCATTTTAACTGAGAACTAGATAGAGCTTTGGTGTGCTCTATATCACTGACAGTCACAGGTCCATCATCATTTTAAACTCAGAGTAAACTCACTCTACAGATTAAAAGTGAACACATGAAAACTTCAAATAAGCTATTAAGAAACCTTATCTAATCCTAACAAACCTTATCTAATCCTAACAAACCCTAATCCTATCCAATGGGCCTAGGATGCCCAGCCCAAAGCCCATGACATTGAGCAAGTTTGAGACCACAGTATAAGAAACATACTAATACTACTTGAAATATTTCCCTACCAAAAAACATGATTTCAATTAACTACCTTGTTCAATTGATGAAATACCAGGAAGAACCTCTGAGATCATCTCTGCCTGCAGCATCTCTGAAAATGAGGCATATTTTCTAATCGCCTGAAAGAAAATTAAGCAAACGAAACTTTCAACTATAATTGATAAAGAAGGATTATTTTGACATAATGTATTATCAACTCATAAAATCGAAATGTATTATCAACCCAATAGTGAAATTTTTCTCTTGCATGTTAGCATGCGTCTATTAAAGGAAAATCATTCTTGATAAAATACCAAAATCATCTCATGTGAAGAAGAGGCAAAAAAAAAACACTTATTTTATTTACCAGAAGCCACAATGATCTCATCCTTATGTGAGGATAATGGTAAGATACTAAAAATAAGATTACCTGAACATTAAGCAAGAGACACTTATTGAAAAGAAGCAAAGAACCTTCTGCAATCCTGAGAAAGAAATAAAATATAATTAAACGGATATCAGTGTACATTGAGGGCTGTTTGGTAGAGCTCCAACTCCTAAATTTAGCTGCCTAAACCCAGCTCCACCTCTCTAGTTCATTTTGTGAGAAAGCTTCACCCAGCTCCGCTCCCATTTTAGGTGGAGATGAAACTGTTTAGCTGAGCTCTAACTACAGGAGAGGTGGAGCTAGAGCTGGAGCTGTGCCAAACAGGCCCTGAAGGACCAAATAAATCCTAACATAAATAAGTGGTGCCAGCTGAAAAACATGTTTAGGAGTTTATTTGTAAGCCCTCCTAGTAATTCTTAAATTTCCGGTGTGTCCTGGAGTTGAAGGCTATTTAGGAACTTAGTGAACATTATCAATGTCCAAAAATTATGATATAATATACTGTACAGAATGCGAGACTCCATAACCACAACAGCATAGAGGCTGCAAGCCTGCAACATTGTATGTTACACAGACAACCAACTTCTAGATTCAGAGGTGCATACCGGTTGTAATTACCAGCTGCCAACCTCCCTTCAACTTTTTTGGTTCCAGCTGCAGGAATATACAATTCAAGTTAGGACAAGTGGTTCCAGAAAGTGATTTCCTCAAAACAATTCAAACATAGGTTAATATATATCAGAAATATAATGTAACATATATAAAGTTCACCACACTACTTAATCTCATGCATGCACTAAAAGTATATTTTTATTTGTGTGCAATCACTGGGAATGACACTGTAAATTTATGCAACTTATATGACCTCTACCTCCTAAACTGTTTATGCAATTCGCCAGCAATTGTACCACATGTCCCAAAGAGATAGATGCAAAGGGACTAAGGACATGCAGGATCTTGGTTGTGAAAGTGTACAGAAGGGAAAAAAAATGCATCTTTTTTTTTTGATTCGAGAAAGATGCACCCAATTCTATTCAATATATGTACAGCCATCATGGAACTAAAAGATAGAGAAAAAAGTTATTTATACAACTAACTAATGCCCCATTCTCATTTATGCGACTTCTAAATATGCCACTACTCGTAATAGTCGGTAATTATATATGCCATTCTCTATTAATTAACGCTTCAACAGGCTTTGACAGTTTGGAAATTCAAAATATTTCTTGAAAACCGAAAAGAGGCATGCAGAAACACAGCGATACATAGAAATACACCAAGACAAACAACAAAAATAAAATAAAATCTGGCAGCACTTTTGACAGAGTTCAAATTTTCAATTTAAATGTTAAAAGTTAAGTGTATTTCATGAAGGCTGGAGAAAATTGAATTTTCTTTTCATAGTGTGTATTCCTATTGTAAAATCTTCACGAATAATTAATTGTTTTGATCGAATGAGAGTTTTTCTTCAAACAATCCCTTTTGATTTTTTTTGTAGAGTTTTGACATAGAAATGTAATAAAACACACTGAAAAAACTAGTGCCTTTTCTCTTTGTTATTAAAGCTTAAACTCTATCAACAGTAATCCATGTTTTTTTCGTCAGAATTTCAACAAATATTATTTATCTCCCAAACAGTCAAGCCCATTGAGGTGTTTACTAGCAGAGATTCCCATTTTTGGAAAGGCCACAGTATGTTTCTTGAACATATCTGTGACAGTCATTTGTGGCAGTAATATTTTATTTCTCAAAGACAAAGATATAGAGATACCTCTTAGTTGAGTGAAGTATGGTTCTTGAACATGCAACTCAAACTCCACAGCATCATACATCTAATGCATAAGAAGAGAAACATATGTAAAAGGGTGCTAGGCATTCATATTACAAAGGAAAAAAAAGTACTTTTGGGCTTTATTCTTGCCATTTACTATTTATTAGTATTACACAAGTAAGCACGTCAGACACTAGCCCCAAGGACAAATTTTGTGCATATGTGCTGGAATTAGTGAACCATGGGCACTGGTAACAGTTTTTCTTACAAGAAAGGTGGCACTGGGAACAGTTATGCTGCTGATCCTCTCTGGTCATAAAAAAAGGGAAGATTAAAAACAATTGCTAAATGTAGTAATGTACCATACAGAAAGTCTTTAAATATTTCTGAAACAATAAAAGTCTTAAAATATTGATCGATATGTATCCATGCTTGACCCCCAATGACTCCTGAAATCTTTGGTATTTGACAATTGGAGTGAATTATTCGTGTTAGTTTTTTTTTAAGCAAGAACCACTCATTCTCATTTCATATTATCAACAAAATAAGCCATAAAAGGCAACCAAATGAGCAGCAAGCAGAGATGCAATTTTACCCTCTTCAACTCGTTCCCCTTCTCCAGCACCACCGCCTCCCACTCCCTCTCCCTCTCCTCCGACCACGCCTCGCCCGCCGGGATCCCCGCCTCCGCCGCCGCCGCGGCCACCGGGAGCCGCCCCTCCTCGACGCACCGGGCAAGACCGGCCGCCAGCTTCTCGAGCAGGTCGTCGTCGTCGTCGTCGAGGAGGAGGCGGGAGCAGTAGGAAGGGGAGAGCGGGAGGGCCGGGTCAGGCGCGGCGAGGTGGGAGGACAGGACGAAGCGGAGGAGGCCGAGGAGCGCCGGCGCGAGCGGCACCGCGCCGCCGGTGCCCGGCGACGGCGGCGGCGGGGTCTCCGACGAAGCCATTTCCGTGCTGTGGGGGCAACGGAGTGTGCGTTGACTTTTTACGTTGCCCGTCATTATCGACAAAAAAAAAAAGGACATGAGTATGACATAATTTCATTATTTAAAAATATGATAACTTATACGAGTATAATATGTACTTCGTTCATTAAAAAAACGAATCTACAACGGGATATGATACATTATAGTATAACGTATATGGAGAAAAATATATCAAAATTAATAGTATTAGAACGTGTCACATGTTTTTTATGGGATGAATGGAATATGTATTTGCTTTAAAAAATATTACCATCCGTTAGTACCTCCAAAAATTATGGTATTTAATGTTAGGCTTTAAAAACGTACTGCCTCCGTTCCAAAATATAACAACTTTTAGTTATCCAGATTTAGCTAAAAATGCTTATATTTTGGGACGGAGGGAGTAGTAATTTGCTGGAGAATATTGAGCCATTAAAGTTCATATTCACTCAATTCATGAGATAGAAGAAAGATTGTCACCGTCTCGCCTCTTGCTAGGATTTGAGAGTAAGAGAGAAAAAAAAGGTGAGGGTGTAATCTGGTTCGAACTAGGTGCACCACCTCATTCACATGGGTGGGAGAGGTAATATGGACATTTTTAACTATTTCTGATGAGGGATGTTAGGTCCCGATCTTCCGATAGGTATTGATAAACAATCGATTTATTGCTTTGTTGAATTCCAGATTGCATCGTCGTGTCGAGTGCTGGTTTAGTTTTAGATTTAATTTTTAGTTTTGAGTATTGCATCTGTTCATCACTTAGGTCTAGGGTTCATCACTCAAGAGTGTGAGTTGTACGTCAGTTTTAGGTCCAGTTTTTCATCTAGTCGGTTGTTGCCGGGACCTTGAAAAATTGAATCGTCTCGTCGTCGGGTTTCCGTTTTTGTGATTTGGTGAAATTTTTATCAAACGGTTTTGGAGTGGTTATACTGTGCGCACGTTACTGAGCGCATGAGGGGAGTACTGTGCGCGTGACGAGAGACTCCGCGTTACTGTGCGCATGAGGGGAGTACTGTGCGCGTGACGAGAGACTCCGGATCAGATCAGATCTATCCGTGATTGTCCGTATTTTCCTCTTTATAGAATTATTAAGTAATTCTCTATCTAGTTCCTCTAGTTGTTTAAATGAGTTACAGGTTGGTTTGCAAGAAGGGGAGTGTCGTGGTTTTTCGACTACAAAGATTTTAGGATCCAATTATATGGTCATCAAGAAATGTTCAGTATATGATGTTGTGATAGACAAAGATAAGTATAATACACTCCATGACAAGGTGAAATCGAGGACGGTTTCCAATCAAGAAGGGGAGGATGATGAGGACACGACTAGCTCGGATATAACCATGACTACCTTATGTATTAATAAACCAAAGGTTCATATGTTCTACATTAGATTTACTTATTATATATTTGAACAAACGTTGCTACACAATGAGTTTTGTGTGTTTTCGTTTGCAGAGGTACTTACTTGGGCGAAAGAAAAGAGACCGAGCTTAAGGAAAGCATGGATGATTGAAGAAGTTGATTGGGGACCAAACCAAGACCTTCTCCAAGTCTTCTTTCATTTCACCACGTCATTTTTGGTTCATAGAAGACAAGAGATAAAGTTCCATACGTTTTGGATTCGGATTCGGGCCTCCTGACAGCATCATCTTCAAACGGACCTAGCCGCTGATCTAGAAGGAATTTCGGGGCCCATGAGTACTTGTTGGAAAGCTTATGGAGTCTACTTTCAGATGGTTTTGGTCCCACGTCAAAATTCCTACCGAGCTGCCGGGAATCTGCAAAACAAGCCATGTATCTCATCCAGTCCGAATTTGACTTGGGTTTTGGGCCTTGTAATTGTGTTGTGGGCTTAGCCCAAGGGGGTGTGCGCCCTAGGGCAACCCTAGGACGTCCCTAATCACATTTATTCAGTAGCCGTCATCGTTTAGAGTCGGGTTTTGCTTAGATTATTCTGTCAAGAACAGTTTCACCGCTAGATCGGTTTGTGGAACCCCAAATTTGAGTGCTTAATTATTCATATGCAATTTGGTTGCAATCTATTTTGTTCTTACTTGTGTTCTTCGATTCGCATGCAGGGATTAGCCTTCTCGGCGAGGTCAACCGGGTTTCGGCATGGTTGATAACCAGAGGAGACGTGGTGCTGTGATTGCGGGGCTCAATAGCGTGTTCGTTCAGAAGCCGGATCGAGTTGTGTCGCGACTCCGCCCAAATCGATTGTTTATCAATACCTATCGGAAGATCGGGACCTAACATCCCTCATCACAACAGGTTGAAAATAATAAAATAATTAAATTACCATATATTTTGTGTTCTCAAGCCAAGTCGCGTTATGATGATGTCTATTAGCAAAGACTATAATATTTGAATATCCTATGACGAATTTTGTCTATCCTAAAGCATAATATATACAAATTATCTGATAAACTATTTGTTTGATAATCCAGAAGAAGAAAGATAGAGAAAGGAAGGTTTCACCATCATCATTCTAGAAGGAACCAAATCCATCATCCAAGCAAAAGAATGAACCACATTAGACTTCCATAGACTAAACATCTGTGAACCCAAGTGGTATTTTGGTTTATTTTTTTATAGAAAATTGGAGAATTGCGGATAAACATGTGTGTTAACTAATATGAGGTTTGCGAAATATGTTCTGAAAACTATTATGAATGGATATCCTATGGGGGAGATCATCACATTTGAATGGCATGTGAGGAAGAAAGAAAAGAGGGAGAGAGATGAGGTGGGCCATGCAAACAAGGGCTATCCGGCCTCCATTGACCGACCTGACTCGGTGCAACCTATTCAAAGATGGCGTCCTAAAAGTTTGGTTTAGAGACTTGCGCAACTTGGCCCAACTCAGCAATAGTGGTCGGGCTGACCTAGAGTGAGCGACGAGACGTGTGGTACATGGAGCGGTTCACAGAAGAAGCCGAACTAGATCAAGCAGCTGCATCCTGTTGGCACTTGCAATAATGATATGGATCAAGGTTGCTATGGATTGAAGGGCACATGGGTCCAGCTTATGGTGATGCGATGTACTACCTCTATCTAAAAATAATAGTTTTTGAAGATGAATGTAGATAAATGCATGTTAAGATTTATCTCTAGAAATTGATTTTTTTTCTTGGATGGAGAAAGTAGACTCTACTCTATTGAGACGGACCACACATGATCATCTGCAGTGTGCCAGTGTGTCTTGGTTCGACGCAAAGGATCCCTGACAGTGCGGCTCTTGGTCCTAAGACATGAAGGAACTATCTTAGCACAGTGGTTTTTGGCTTGGTGCATATACTACCTCCGTCCTAAAAAAATTAGACGTTCTCCCGTCCAACTAATATCCTAGAAAAAATATCATCATAGCCGTAATCAAAGAAGTGGCCCACTTTCAGAAATGGACAGGCACTCCTAGGCGCCGAAGCACATCCTCCATAGGCTAATTTAAATGTTTAAACTATGGTACTGATTGTTTTCTCATGTGTAATTTTTATGGCCATGGCTCCAATGTGCTTATGCAAATCCCACATGGCAGTCAAGGTGTGGTTCATTTACTATTTAACTACAATCTCTATTATTCTTGGGTTCTTCTAAAGTGCGTGCACAGTAGTGATGAATCAAATTAATGAGGGTAAATTGGTCAGTTTTAGTAGACATTAATCTAGGTGAGAAACCTTAAAATGACATGTTTTAGGGGACAGAGAAAGTATATATTTGTTTGGTTGAACTTCACACTTTGCCACTTGTAGTATGATGTGTTTGTTTCCTACCATAACTATGGGCCTGTTTGGTACAGCTCCAACTCCTAAATTTAGCTCCAGGAGTTAGGTCTGGAGTGGAGCTGTGAAGCTGCCTAAACCTAGCTCCACAACTCTAGTTCATTTTGTGAGAGAGCTCCACCCAGCTCCACTCCCAATTTTGGTGGAGCTGAAACTGTTTGGCTGAGCTGCAGCTCCAGCTCTGTGCATAGGTCTAAATTGAGAAAAACCAGTGCACACCGCACAGAATAGTACTATCAGTAATCCAAGCCGTGCTTTTACATCCAACGGCCCAAAAGAGACACCCAAACCCACCAACACCAACACCACACGCCGGCGGCGGCAGCGGCGGCGACCCAAAAACCCTCCTCCCCTCTCCCTCGCTGCGTCCTCCACTCTTCTGCTCTAGCTCGAGCTCGACCTCCTCCTCATCCGCCATGGGCGACGACATCGACGCGAGGTACGAGGTCCCCCGCACGGCGGAGTTCATCCGCGCCCGCGCCTACACCAGGGTCGCGCTCCAGGTAATCCCGCTCCCGCGCCGCCTCGATCCGGTTCCTCTTTCTTCGCGATGATCTTTTTGGTTGTTCGGGGTTCTTGGCTCACTTGGAGGGGGGGTTTTCCTCTTCTTGGCTGTAAAGTTCCCGGACGAGATGCTCAGGGACGCGGCGGCGGTGGCGCAGGCGCTGCGGCGGGAGCTAGGCGGCGGTGGGGTAAAGCTGTTCGTGATGGCCGACACGGCGTACAACTCGTGCTGCGTCGACGAGGTGGGCGCGTCCCACATCGATGCCCAGTGCGTCGTCCACTACGGCCACGCCTGCATGAGCCCGTGAGACCTCCTCCCCCCCCCCCCCCCCCCCATTACCCTTCCTCGCCTCTAGATTGGAGCTAGCTTTCAGTTGGATGCACATATGTTGGGTTTGTGGAGATTTTAGTCTCTGTTTTGGGGCTTGTAAAGAACACTGATAGAAATGTGAATCCATATCACAGATTACTTCCGTAGGGGAATCCGTTATCCCAAATTATTACTTTCGGAGTGGTATTTCGAATTCTTAGTTGATCTGGTGACTAAAGTAGAGGCATTTTCAGCTCAAAATTTAGGAGGGAACTATTGGTGATTAATTGAAAGTTTTTTTTTTCATATGTTTGTCAGTTCTGCAATCCCACCATTTTTTTCCACTGCTTGTTTGAAGCTGTTCTCTGTTGCTATTAATGCTCCAGTGCACCGCACTAACACTCTGTTCCCACTGATGATAAGAAATTTGAATGCAGAACATCCAATTTGCCTGCTTTCTTCGTGTTTGGGAAAACACCATTGGATACCGATGCTTGTGGCCGCTCATTGTTGGAGTGCTCGAGAGAAAGTGATAAACGCATCCTGGTATGGTAAACCTATTTCTAATGTTCTGAAAATTATGCTTCAATTCATGGAATAAGCTATAACTCTGATTTGTTATTACCAAAGTACAGCCAAATTATGGCATTACGCTTTAATTTTTCCTCTACACTATAAAATCAAATCAAATGTACCAAAAAAAAAATCTCCTTTGATTTCAATTATCGTGAAAAAAAAAAGTTAAAAATCATAGGGTAGTTCTTCATACATCATCTTCAATTTTCATGGATTCAAATATTTAGAAGTGAGTGCACTATATTGGTAGTCTTAAAAGCAACCTCAATTGGATCATGAATGAGAACTTGTCGTTTTATCATTTATGCAGTGGACACGAATTCGATATAGACCTACAGTAGCTCCTGCTTGTGTCTCATGTTGTCTACCTGTCAGTATGTTGTGTAGACAGTGATGGTTAATTAATTAGCTATATCTACTGGATGTTATCCTATTTCCAAGTAATTGGTTAGGGTTTTATATTTGTACTTCTCAGTATTGTTTTTTTTATTGAGCATTTGACTCATCGACTGTTACTATTTGCATATTTGACCATGAAATAGCTAATGTAAGATGTGTATGGCTAGAAATTTTTATCTTCATTAATTTACTTTTAATAGTCTATGATACTCTTGTCAAACAGGTTTTTTATGGATTAGAGTATGCACATGCATTGGATGATCTTAAAGCAGTAGTTGCGGAATTATACAAATCACATTCTCGCAGTGTTGAAGTTCAGTATGCAGATGTTCTCTGTTCAGTTATGAGCCCAAGCTCTGCTGCAGAAGTGGAACACGGTCAATCCGATGGAAGCACTCATAGTGATGATTTATCTATACAAAGTGATGTAGCGACATTTGTGAATAATTGTTGCAACGTGGAAGGATCCACACGCAAGTATAGCCTTGGAGGACTAACATGGTCTACATCCATAGATGATAATATGGAGGACTATTTGTTATATTGGATAGGACAAGATAACTCAGCATTTGCCAACATTGTGCTTACCTTCAATAAATGTGATATAGGTTCGTTATCTTTTCAATAGCCAGTGGGGAAATTATTTGAATTTGTGTTAGTCATGTTTTCCTTCTATTGTAGTTTGCCTCTAGAATCTATTTTGGTTTTCGTAAGATAAGTACGAACCATTAGTTGGACAATATGAAGTACTACATGGCATACATCTTGCTTTGGAAGTTATTGTATTCTCATTTGGCTTTAAATATCTCTATCCTTAACGTTTAGTTATCATGTAACTTCCAGTCAATGCTTTATATTGTAAATGTAGCTATTCTAATTCCCTTCTTCATATGAATGATCTGACAGGAGGTACAATCCGTCCAGTGTCATGTCATAACATAATTGCTTTAAAGCAGAGACCTTTATAATGAAATGCATTCTAATATTAATGAACATTTTTAATTTTATTATGCAGTTAGGTATGATACAGTAGCAAATCAACCATCAAGGGATGTCTCTCATCTGATGAAAATACTTAGGCGCAGGTCATCTTATGCAGCATATATAATACTTTATTTTTGCGTGAAATGAAAGATTTTTTTTTTGTCATTGTAGCATTATTTACAAAATAGTTTGTATATGCAGATATTACCTTGTGGAGAAGGCGAAGGATGCAAATATTGTTGGCATTTTGGTGGGGACCCTGGGTGTTGGTATGTATTCCTTTGGCGTGTTTTATTTTTTGATTTGTTTCCCATTGTAAAGTACACATAGGAACTGTTGACCCTATTAAATCTGTCAAGTTACGAATTAACAAACCCCATTCAAAATTTGCCAGCAGTTCAGCACTATGCAATGTTGTATTGGAGAAAGAAAGGGGGACACTACAATTGCAGATAACAGTGCTTGATTAATATGTCACTCAGTCAGAATAGTCTTTTCCTTTACTCAATCCTTGTGCTGAGGCTAAATTAACACCCCTAAGAAAATTAAATGGAGTATGTTGCTAATCACAAGATTATTAATCGTTATGCTATGTTAGGTTGTTGAGCTAGAAAATATAGGCTGGGCTTGTCTCTACCTTGTGAAATTGAGGTGTTATTTGAATGGTGAAAAAAAAGGTTATTTGTGGGCTCTAAATTTCTACTACATTTGAAGTTTACTTTGGTCAACCTGGTCGAAGACCAAGGTTGATTCAACTGGATTTGAAGTAGTTCCACACATGACCTATGTAGGAACCATCCAATTACTTCGATGTTGGTTCTACCTGTTTTAAGTAAATTGTGCTCACGGTACAACAACTTGGTGAGTGGGTGCGATTTAGTGCAAGAAATAAAAAATATGTACAACAACTTGGTAATGGGGTGCACATTTGGTGCCTAGGAGGTGCCACACATGCAAACTGGCTGTGTCAGCTGGCCAGCTCGTCAACTAGGTCACCCATTATGTGCCTTCAACCAAGATTCGAACAGACTAGTAGACAATCGCTGGCAGCAAAGCTTCCATTGTCTTCTTCCTACTCTTCATAAAGTTGCACATCCATCTCATCTCACTGACTGCATCACCCCACCTCACCTTTGGTGATCACCTTGCCATTGATTCGAGAAGCCAGAATGGCAAAGAACTTCAACCAAATAATAAGATGTTGGTGATTATGCAGAGAAACACATTGTTGAAGGCCTCAGCGTGCCCATCGTGCACCACATGGCACCTCCTAGAACTATAAGATCAACAATAAGCCAACTTGTTATAGTTGATCGTACAATTTCTAAGTTGTATTCAATCTCATCTAGCCATCAAGTTGTTGTACTGTGACCGTTATTTACTCTGTTTTGGTTTGATACCAAAACCAACCTTACCAAATTTTGGTAATGCCAAATTTTGGCACTGCCAATTTTTGGTGACATAGAAGCGTGCGGTAGTTGCTTGGGTTGACACCTTAACAAATGCAAGGTGTTAGGTGTGATGTTTTAGAATTACCAAATTTTGATGTGGTAGAAGTATTTAGAGTCTGTTTGGTTTGTTTCCTTATTGTAATGACTAAAAATGGTGACAGATCAAACATACCCCTATTCCTTTTATTTTCAACTGAACTGTCTATTTGTTTTGATTTTTATATTATAAATGCTTTCACTGAACCTCACTGCCACTATAGCTTTAGCTTGCACATTATTGTCTTTTAACTTTATTACACACTACATCTAAATGATATTATGTGGTACATGGCATCATTTTCATATGCAGCTGGTTATCTTCACATCATTGAGCAAATGAAAGATCTGATCAAGGCTGCTGGAAAGAAATCATATACGTTAGTCATGGGCCGACCTAATTCCGCAAAACTTGCTAATTTCCCTGAGGTGCTACTGAGTTCTAATATGTTTTCTCTGCTTTTCATGTTAAGGATAACTGACTCACCATTCTTTTTTTTTTTTTGGTATGGCAGTGTGAAGTTTTTGTTTATGTTTCTTGTGCCCAAACTGCTCTATTGGATAGCAAAGATTTTTTAGCTCCAGTCATTACGCCTTTCGAAGCTGTATTAGCTTTTAGCAGGTACACACCATTATTGCCTCCGATAGTGCTGTTGACATACTTGTGCTGTTCATTTATCAATCATGACTTTATATTAAGTTGTGTATGGTGGTCTGGCCTCATGTGGATGCAAGTTCGAAGATTTTTTCTTACATTCTTATTAAGCAGTATCACATTTATCACTTTTTCAGGGGAAGGGAATGGACAGGAGAGTATCTTCTAGATTTCAAGGATTTGATCACTACAGATAAACCAGAAATTTCAAGCACAACTGAAGAAGCAAGATTTTCCTTTATCAAAGGTGGCTATGTGGAAGATAATTGCCTTGAAGGTATAGCATCTACTCTTGGGTTTTGAAATGATCATGTCAATTAATTATTTGTCGACTTCCGAGTACATATAACATGACCCGATATTCTGCATTAGTACCCCCGTTCTCATGGCTGATGCATTCCTTTACCTTTTTCTTCCCTGTTCCGCACCATTTGGTCCCACAGATAACGAGGAACAGCCAGAGACATCGCTTGCACTTGCTGAGGTAACAGAGAAGGCGCTAAGTATAAAAAATCAGAATAATGATGCAGTTCTTTACCAAGGAGGAGCAAAGTCTGCGATCGACTATCTCAAGGCACGATCCTACCGTGGTCTCACCGGAGAATACGAGGGTCCAGCACCAGACTCGGTCTTGACAGGCAGAACAGGGAGAGCTGCCGGTTACAACAACGAGAAAAAGGAGATTACACAGTGAATGAATGACATACCTTGAGTGGGAAAATATATATATATATATATATATATATATATATATATATATATATATATATATTTGACTTGTTTGCCCTCGATGGGCGATTGATGGAGAGGCAATTTTGTACTTCAGAAAGTACTGTCAGATGCCTCAGTTTTGTTGTGAGCCATGAACTATGTGTTCCTTTTTTTTTTTCTTTTATGATGGAAGGGAAACTCCCCAGCCTCTGCTCCTACTAGGGAACTGTGTTTCATCAAACTGTTATATGTTCAGAACGATGTTGTACATCTCCTGCCAACATACTGTACAGTATTCCATATTTGCAAATCTGCAATTTGGTTCCTCTGTACCAAGGTGGCTGTAAATACTGGCAGAAACAGCCAGCAAGATCACATTGTTTTGCAAAGCCGGCTAGATGCTCCATATGCTGATTGTAAGTTTGTAATCATGCTATGATAATTTAGCAAAGCTCATGACTGCTGGAAAAAAGAACATGATCACACCACTTATTGGAAATGAAATGGTAATTAGGATCAACCAGCAGGAGCACACCTGTCACAAAGAAAGTAACCGATCGAGATATAAATTAAATCCACAAAAATGGAAAAAAAAATGTTGTCTGGTTGATGTGTCAAGGACAACAAATCTGGTTGCCATCAGCTGAAATCAGCACTAGGAAAGCAAACAATAGGACTGCACTGTACTTCTTCCCTTCCCTTGTATCATGGTGATGTAATCGACTGATTTTTAAAAGAGCTTCCATGTTCTTAAAAATGAAAAAAAAAACTCAGCTTCAAGGACCTAGATTGGCATGAATGCATGAAACACAAACCACACACTTCATCATTGCAGAACCCAATCAAATATTCAAAGCATATGTAGTGTACATTGTAGCACATAGTACATTTACAAATCAAATGTGCACACACAAGCACTGCACTTATTACATGAGACCACATATCACTCGATATACAGATAGGAAAGCCACACAAGTCCAAATCCATGAGCATAGACACAACCATTATGCTCAACCATAGTGCCAAAACACACACAGAGGCAGAATATATACAAATGCACACCACACATATATAGCAGACAGAAACACACAATTAAGTAGTAGCAAACCAAACCTCATGAGCACCCAAATGCAAACCGATAATGGGAGGGACACGATGGTGATTCCCTTCAGCTCGACGTCCGGTGCCGACGCTTGTCCTTGGGGATGAATAGGCAGCATGGCGCACCGTGTAGTTTGCTTCCGCGTTCCCTTGTGTTTTCTCATGAATTTCCCATTTGTAGTATGTATAATGAATTTTATCTTTATGCTTATCAATGGCTTCTTTCACCTGGTTAGGGAGAGACTCGCCGTTGAACTCAAGCTCCTTCAATATCTCGGAAGGTTGCATTATATTGTCGATGCCAGAGAAAGACGAGTTCATCCCGGTGAAGGTCCACATGATCTTTTCGAGCTTAGGGACAAGCCCCATTGTGGAACTCGATCTCAGTGATTTTAAAGCAGTGCACAATAAGATCGCAGAGTTTTGGGAACTCATCTTTGTTGAAGGCAAGATGGCTTTCATCAAAAGACTCATCCAAGAGCTCCAGGCAGCGGATATTTGATGTATTCACGAGGAGCCATGACGATAAGGCGGCACAGGACCAGACGAGGCCCGCGAGGAGCAACTAGGCTAGCTCAGAGCAAGTTCAAATAGTATAGCCAACTACTAGCTCCAATTCATTTATAGCTAATCTAATAGCTCATTCATACAATAGTTACATACTACACTATTAATACCTGGTCCCACCTGTCATACACACACTGTGTCTTGGAGTCCGTGCTATAGCTGGCTACAAATCTGTAGCCCGCTGCTCTTTTCTCTCCTCATTTATCTTCTTAAAATATGTTTGCAGCTGGCTTATAGCCTGCTATTGTACCTGCTCTAAGTGGTGAGCTCATTGCCTCATCGCCGCCACCGCCGCCCAACTCCCAAGTTCCACGGAGCAGGCGGCCACCAGATCTCAAGCTCGAGCTTGTCCCTTCTTTCCACAGCTCCACATGGCAGAAGAACGACTGTCCTACTTCCCCTACCTCGCCGCCTCTTAGCCTCCGCGCAGCGGCCTGTGGTGGGTGAGAATTGGAACTCTCTAGGCTATGGAAAGAAAGGAGGAAGAAGGAGGGAGAGGGACTGACGTGTGGGTCCCACTGCTAAAATGGAGAGGGTAGATGAAGAAGCTGTTGGAATGAAAAACAAAATTAACTCTCTATTCGGTTGGCAAGCTAGCTAAATGAGTATTTGGAGAGGCAAATTTGGAGACTGATGGAGATGCTCTTAATTAGACTTGGGACCCTAGGTGCCAGGACTTGTACCTGCATGGTATGAAGTATCAAGTACCAACGCCTCCTCTCCTCTTCTTCCTTCCCCTCGTTTTAACCCATGTTCCCTACTGCTACTGCTGTGACCAGCGTTGCTGCCTACACCGTTGTAGGCTCTGGCTCAAGAAGCGAGGACGCCGAATGCGTGGAGTGGGGGTAGGATGACTCTAAACTTACAGGAAAAAAAGCAAATACGTGGGATGACGTCAGCCTCCCTAAAGTGGTATCCCATCCTCTAGCAGCCCTGTATCCTCCATTAATAACAAATAAAAAGATATTAGTCACTACAAACACTCTTCATTACCTAGACTCAAAACTATCAGTTTCCCTGCATAGTTCAGTTACACTGCTTGGCCACCGCCCCCGACGTTTCCCCTCTCATGAACCCTCGCCGCTGCCCCTCATCTTCCTCAACTCGGCAACGCCAGAGCTCGCCACCGGGTCCCCGCATGGCAGCTAGGGCGACGGCAGCGGGGCTTCGATGTCGGGATCTGACAGGGCATTGCGTAGATGGGGTTTTAGTTTAGGTGACCGACTGGGGTGGTGCCAAAGGGTGGCGGTGAGGACTAGCAGCGTCGGCAAACTTGGTGGTGGCGTCGGGGAGGCATTGGGCGGAGACGGGGCTAGTCCTCCATCCTTTTCTTTGTCAACGTTGGCGAGGGCTAGCGGTGTCGGCGGCGGTAGACTTTGAGGTGGCGATAGGTGGTGGCAATGTTGGGTGAGATGGGGCTAGTCCTCCAGCCCTCCCTTTGTCACCGGTGGCGACGGCGGTGGGAGAGGCTCTTGGAAGCGCCATTCTAGAGATGGCAATTGCCAAGCGAGCGTCAGCACCAAGGTTTGGCTGCGGATAGGTGTCGACGACGGTGGAGCATCTCCAACAAGCTCATAGCAGTAAGGGCATGAGCATATCGTGCTGGACGGCTCCGCGATGCTCTAAAAACGGAGGGGAGTTCGATAGTTTCTGAAAGATGGTGGTGATGTGGTAGATGGGCTTTGCGACGCACTAGTGGCATTCAGAATACGGCGTCGGCGTAAGGTGTTATGGACAGTGATGGTGGACAACGAACGAAGCAGTTGATAGTATGTGGTGGTTGTGATCCGTAGAGGTGAAAATGGTACGACGACGAGCGGCACGGACTAGTTCCGACTCTCCCCTGCCCGACCTCTTATGCTGTGGCAGAAAGAATAAGTCGCCGATGGAGTTTGAGAGTTTGAAGCTAAACTTCTATCTTTTCTTTTTGTGTTTGTACGTGCGCTTTCTTGCTACTCTGTGTAAGTTTGGAAGTTGAAAAACTCGTGTATTATTTTGGATGCGTATGCTCTTCGTGGATATAGATGCAAGATTAATAAAAATCAATTTATTAAAAAATAGAGTCAAACTTATATCAGTGGCTCCACCACCAATCTCATGGATATATATATTGACATGCATGCCGAGGAAGAAGCACGCAGTAGCTTTCATATCAACAGCCTACTGACATGGCCAACATGCATGGCAGCATCCCAAGGATTGACTTCGCCGGAATAATCGACCTAGCCGCGTTGCCGCCGCCGGCAGCGCCGCCTCCCCCCGGCGCCGACCACCTACGGCCACGGTGGGCCGCCGTGCGCGCCGCCGTCATGGACGCGCTCCGCGCGCACGGCTGCTTCGAGGCGGTCGTGGACGGCCTCATCTCCCCGGAGCTCCGCGCCGCCGTGCTCGGCCCGGGCGGCGCGGCGGAGTCCGTGCTGTCGCTGCCGGCGAGCGCCAAGGCGCGCGGCAACGACCCCGGCGAGGGCAAGCCGTACCACGGCTACGTCGGCGGCATCCCCGGCCTGCCCTACGAGAGCGTGGCCATCTCCGACCCGCTCTCCCCCACCGCCGTCCGCGCCTTCGCCGCCCGGGTGTGGCCGGCCGCCGCCGCCGCGTTCCCGGAGGAGGCGGTGGTCGCGTACGCGGGGAGGCTGGCGGCGGTGGAGGCGGCGGTGCGGCGGATGGTGCTGGAGAGCGTGGGCGCGACGGCGTCGTCGGCGGGGGCCGTGGAGGCGCAGGCGGCGGCGACGGCGTTCAAGCTCCGGCTGTCGGAGTACGCGGCGCCCGGCGGTGGGGAAGATGCGAGGCTGGGGCTCCCCGCGCACCGGGACACGAGCTTCCTCGCCGTGGTGACGCAGAACGGCGTGGACGGCGTCGAGGTGGAGTGCGGCCGCGGCGACGGCGGCTGGGCTCGCCCAACGCTCTCGCCGAGCTCCTTCCTCGTCTTCTCCGGCGACACGCTCAAGGTATCTGTGCATGTGCACGCATGTCACATCTCTCTATCTCTTTCTTCTTTTTTTTTAAAAAAAAAATGGATTAAAAGAAACCTGGCGATCGATCTAGCTACATCCAAATGCATGTTGCTGGAATAGAAAATACTAAATAGTACACAAACTTCCTTAACTTTCACATTTCAAATTAAGTCAAAGTCTATACCATAATTTAACTAGCCGAATACAATGTGCGTTACAACGGTTTTAGATAAAATATTGTCAGTTGTAAACTTGAAAATATTGTGAATATATATGTATCATGGAATAACAATGTTATTATACAATCAATTTCCAACAAAAGATTCCCGCCACCAACTCAATTAGGTGGTGGTAGCTAGTTTTGCATAAGACTCCTCCCTGCTATTACCGTTGGTCAATTACATTATTTTCGTGCGGAACGTGACGAAACATAGACATAAGATATTAATCGAAAACCAGTTAATCGAAAACCAGAGTACCACAATATATAGCAAAAGTATTGATTTTGGAAAACTAATAAGTGATGCGCGCATTCACAGTTATATATTCGAACCTGAGTTTTAAATCAACATTTAACGATCAGCCTTCTTAAACAGCTAAATAGCAGGGTAAATGGGAAATAGATTTTAATTCTTTGAGGGAATAGGTTCACTCGTTATTGCATGTCCTCCAAATAGTAAAAAAAATTAAAAAAATAAAAATAAATTAATACGTGATGCATGACCGGTGATGACCGGCAGTCTGACCAGCTCTGCATGGCCGGTCTGACCATGCAGACAGGGCGGTCTGACCGGCATTGCGTGGCCGGTCCGCCCGGTCCCAGAGAGGAAGCTGGGGGCACGTTACAATTGATTAAAAGGCCGGATTAATTGTGAATTTGGACATTTGTGCCCATAAGTCAGAAATAGATTGGAGAATCCCTTTGAATAGAATATTTGAAAGATCCTAGTTTCAGGATTGATCGGAAAATTTGGCGGCAAGCGTTCAAATACATTTTGCTTGATAGAGAATTATATCGCCGAAAAATAGATAGAGTACTTTTGAAGTGCTTAGATAATGATCAATCTAAGATTGCTATGGGAGAAGTACACATGAAGGGATTTGTGGAACTCATCAATTGGCCCGCAAGATGGATTGGTTGCTTAGGAGAGTTGGATTCTATTGGCCGAAAGTGATTGATGATTGTTTCAAGTACTATAGAGGATGTGAAGTTTGTCAACGGATCGGCAATGTTCAATTAGCGCTTACCACTGTGTTGAATCCTATCATTAAACCATGGCCGTTCCGAGGTTGGGCTTTGAATTTCATTGGTCAAATTTATCCTTTGTCATCAAAAGGGCATCGGTTCGTGCTAATTGCGATGAATTAGTTCACCAAGTGGGCCGAAGCCGTGCTGTTCATGAATATTACTTACACGGATGTAATTGACTTTATCTTGAAGCATATTGTTTATAGATTTGGTATTTCATAAACTTTGATCAAGGAGCTTCTTTTGTGTCCAAAGATGTGAGAAGTTTTACTGAATCTTATGATATTAAGTTGTTGAGTTCTTCTCCTTACTATGCTCAGGCTAATGGATAAGCCGAGTCTAGTAATAAGATATTGTTGAAATTAGTCAAGAGGGATATTGAAGAACACTCAAAGAACTGGCATGAGGTGCTTTCAGAGGCATTATGGGTTCATAGGATATCTAAACATGATGCTACTAAAGTCACTCCTTTTGAGTTGGTTTATGAAAAAAAGCCGTTTTGCCAGTTGAGGTAAAACTTGGCTCTCTTCGGTATTTCAAGCAAGACGACTTGTTAATTGAAGATCACAAGACCTTGATGGGAGGCAATTTTGAAGACGTCATCGACAAGCATTTGAGGACTTTGAAAGAGATGGAGGCACTTCAAGACGGTGTTTACAGAGAACAATCTATGGGAAATACTTGAAGAAATACTTTCCTAGCGTTTGGCAAGATGCTTAGGAGATCCCGTGGCCGGTAATTGGATTATCGCCCTAAGACAACATGTTCTATGCTTTTAGATTTGCGATGTTCATAAAAAAGGCAGGGGGGCATGTGTTTACACCCAAATTTAGCACTTATGGACGAAATAGGGGAAAATTGCCAAAGTTTGGAAAGTGCCGGCTTTCTTTCACAGGGCCGGTCATACCGCAAGTATGTGGGCAGTCTGACCGGCTAGTAGGGCCGGTCTGACCGCAGGTATGTGGGTGGTCGGATCGTCAGGGTCCGAGTCCGAGTCTATTTCCGTCGGGTCTCGGATTTCCTTGCTCGAGAAGGCTATGTTTCGTGTTTCCTTTGTTTCTATCCCGAGTTGGACGTAGAGAAGGGCCTGTAGAGGGCAAGACTAACCCCTATATAAGGGACAAGGCCGGTTCATTGTAATCCCCCGAATAAAATCTACTTGAATAGTTCTTTTACCATGTTTTCTATTTTACCCTAGTTTAGTCCATCTTTGTCGGTTTGCGCCGTAAACCGTCCGCCGCTGCTGCGAGAGTGCGACACCTCTTTGTAGGTTTGTCCTGAAAACCTTCCGTTTTGCCCACGAGATGGGTAGCTATCCTCATATCGATCTAAATCGGCCTAGAGGCTGATTTTGATATCTAAATCGGCTCCGCTAGCTGGTTTAGCTATTTTTCTATAAAACCCATCTTGATTTGGCCGTTTGGCTAGATCGAGGTGGTTGGCGACTCCATATCACCGCAAGGCGTTTAGGTGTTGCGATCGTACTTGTCGACTTGTCACAAAAGTTGCCAACATGGGGTTCGACCGAACCCCCTGGTTCGACCGAACCATGGGCTGGCCCAAACCAGCCCATCTTCGGCTGGCAACCTACTGGACTTCTTCTCTTTGTAGATTTGTGAATTTTGGGCCAATTGATCGTGTCAATTCTGAGTTCTTAGCCCATTCATGCATAAGTCCGATTCTCGACATCGTCCGATTGATTTATCGTCTGATTTGATGTCGATTCTCCTCCACTTAATGATTATTCTCTGTAAAAGGTTAGTGATCCAAATACTAGTGGAATATTATTATTCTAACATGTATATGCATTACAAGTATAACTAGTTCTCCTCTATTGATAATATTGACGGTCGAAACTGATCGCTAACGACCGTCAACGGCGGAGCAGAAACCCAGTGAAGAGGTGAGCAAACACCGGCTAAAAAACCAGTGACGCTCACCACACCACCAGGACGAGGAGCGTCGGAGCCGACAGCCACCTTGAGCACCAAAAGATAAGGGACACACTAGTACAACGAGAAGACAAGAAAATAAGACTACTACTTACACTACTAAACAAGAGGAGATGGCCGCCCTCCCCCCACATGCCCCACTTCCATCCTTCGTCGGCGTCAGCGGTAAGCCGCCGAAGAGGAGGAAGAGGGGTCGGAGAAGGCGAGTCTACTGTAGCGGTGAGTCACGAGAGCTCGAGAGAGAGACTGGTTGAGTGTGGACGAGTTCCACGAGCGTCGAGTGTCAAGTTATCCGTTCTCGTTTTTGATTCTTTTCCGATTCCTCCTCTCTCCTGTCTCACCATCTTTGTCTCCTCTCCCTCATCTCCTCTCACATGGCGGCGGCGGTGACAGCTGCGGAGGACGAGGAGAGGCTGCTGCGGCTGGAGTAGTAGGCGGAGCACTGTGGCACCAGCGGTGGCGGCTTGTGAGACTATCTCTGCCTCGCCGGCAAGCTCCGCACACGCTGCTCGCAGGCCATCCACCACCTTGGCCTAGCCCTCAAATTACAACGTAAAGCTGTTGGTGTCAATCACAAAACGCACACGCTCACGCAAATCACAGAGAAATCACCTAGGAACTCAGTAGGAACACACAGTCGAACACTTGGCGGGCACTCTCGTCCTACGAGAACAGAGTAGAGAGCTAGCAGAGCAGAGAAACGCAGGGACTATATATTTGCGCTGCTCAACTGAATTTTCTGGTTTTTGTCTCCTTTTATCATAGCAAGAACATGAAATGATGTAAACGTGCACCTGGTAGCGGACTACTCCTGCCAAAATGTAAGGATTTTAGATGGATGGTCTCACACTGATACTACGAATCTAAACATATCTATCCAAATTTATATTATGCCTGCTCAGATTTCTAATATTAGAATATGCCTCGTCCATTTAAAATCTCTTATATTTTAGATGGAGAGAGTAAAATACAAGACATAATCATATGCGTGCTCCGTATGATGCCCAGGTTCAAGATGCTCTCCCAATGTGGAAATAGCACGTCTTAACATGATGCGAAACTGTAAAACTGAAAAAAAAATAAAGGGGAAATATGTAGTAGAAATATGGAAACTACTATTGGATCCAATATGGGACGCCTGAGAGTAAAATTTTTACTCTTGATAAAAAGAAATCTTACACGTTCATTTATAGATTCACCGGTAATTTACAGGTTTTGCACTACATATGTAGTTTGCACTATATATTTCCCCAAAACAAGAAACTCTGCAAAAAAAAAAGAGACAACTTGGTACAAAACACTAAAAGATCGTGGTCTTTGTTGGACACCCAAAAATGTGTATCTATTCATGGAAACCGTAAAAACATTATGTTCTATGGACGGCCAATGTATTTTATTATATTATGTTCAAATGGAGAGGGAAAATTTCATAAAAGATAAGTTGCCCATGGGGCCTCCTCCTCCTCACCTCCGCTGCCGCCAACAGTGCCACCGTCCCTTGCCCCCACCACCCTCCCTACTAACAACCACTGCCACCACCTCCTTCTCGCCACTGCAGCGAGCACTGCCATAACCCGGCTTGCTGCTCAACGCACTCCACCTACAGGGCTGCGCCACCACTATCGTTGGACCACTCGTGCCCTCTCTATCAATACTCCTATTGTGCCCTCCACCATTGCCATGCGCGCGCCGGCGGGGGAGGGGGGGGGGTTCCACCCGTCTAGCTTCGATTGTGGTGCCACTTCGCTGGTCTACCTCGACACTATTCCAGAGAATTTCTTGGAAAGGAATTCAGATTTTTTTTCTCTCTTCCTCAACTTGCTCGTATATTCCTCCTTCCATGCCATTGCATCACTCGGCACTCATGCGCAACCACACTCTCTTCCTCAATTCGTTCATACAATTTTTTCTCCGTTATAATTAGCGGGTATATTATATTATTTCTAGGTATATATAGCTAGGACAATATTCAATCTCATGTACGGGCAGTTTTTTAACTAGGGCTGAAAGCCCCCCATTTCCATTACTAGAAATGAAACGACGAGTACAAAAGAGTTCGGAAATAAATAACAAAAGAAAAGCCAGGCTAGCGCAACCCCCTTACTGGAGCAGCACCCTGACAGGAAAGACTAGCATTTTTCTGCAGGGCAAGCTTTACAGAGATCAACAGATCAGAGACAACAAAATGAGAAGGGGAAACCTAACTGACTGCCAGAGCAAAACAAAGAACTCAGCATCACTAAACTCCTAAACTTTTCATTCCAAGCGTCTTGTATAAATTCTCCATCCAAATCTGGAACTGAAGACTTCATTTGCCACTTGTCTCGCCAGCTTGGCTCCCAACATTAAGCTTCTTTGTCTTGCCTCCGATTTCTGCAAGTTAGCCCAGTTTTCAATCAAATGACATGTAAGATATATCAGCTCAATTGGATCATTAGGCCATTTTTTTTTATCAAAACACACTTTGTTTCTGGATTTCCAAATAGCCCATAATACAGCTGCCACCCCCACCATCACAAGTTGTTTAGAATGTTTGTCAAAATTGGAAAGCATATGGTTTTTATTCCTAGCAGGTGTTATATTCAGGGCGCACAACTTCACATTCCAGATCAATCTAGCAACAGGACATTCAAAAAATAAATGCTGTATGGACTCCTCTTTATCACAAAACTGGCACAATTTATCACCCTTTCTCCAGCCTCTCTTGTAGAGGTTATCTTCAGTAAGAATTTTGTTTTTTAAAACCAACCACATAAAAATCTTGATTTTCATAGGTATTTTGAACTTCCAATTTTTTTTATGGGAATGCCACTTGCTCCCTTTTAAGAGCTTTATAAAAGGATTTGACAGTAAAATAGCCATTCTTTTCCAAGTTCCACCACATTCTATCTTTTATTCCTTCTTGCAGATTCAAAAGCCTCCACATCTGTTTAATCCCATTCCAGTCTCTAAGTTTGTCTCCATGCAAAGTCCTGAATTTGATAGTCTCCCAGCCTTTCTCCTTCAGTTTTGCAAGAGTAATATGTCTAGTATGGGTAATGTTGTATAAAGCAGGGAATCTCATTTACGGGCATATATGCATTCAGTTTAGTAATACTAATATTACTGCTATGCACGCAGGCACTGACAAACGGGCAAGTGTACAACCCTCTGCACCGGGTGGTGGTGTCCGGCGACGAGGCCCGCTACTCCGCCATCCTCTTCTCCCTCCCGGTGGACGGCGCCGCCGTCCGCCCGCTCGACGAGGCGGTCGACGGCGACCACCCGGCCATGTACAGGCCATTCGACTACGGCGAGTACGCCGTGTTCTGCTACTTGCCGGAGAACATGACGCCGGAGGTCATGAAGCACGCCCACAAGCTGGAGGCCTTCGCCGCCGTGCGCACCACTACTACTGCATCTGCATCTGCATCTGCCCCTTAATTAGATGGTGTAGCAGCATTATATTCGCACAGAGATTTTTAAAAAGAAATGTTTCATCGTCGGATCACCGTTGATTATTTGTTTGTTGATTTTTGTAGTACGATATGTGGTCTCCATTTATGTATGTTATAGCTTAAAATATTGAACAAAAGGTCTAATGTTCGTGGTTTTATGTCTTGCTGAAAAATATATATACCTTCTCACCCAGGGTTTCCCTTGCCGCCGGTAATCGTGGGGTACCGTAGGGGTTACCAGTGGTAGTGTTTGGTGAATTTTATCTAAATTTAAAATTCCGAAAAAAACAAAAAAGATCAAAAAAATTCATGGATGTAGTTCTTGATTTGTAGTGGCAGATGGTGAAGAAATTTTTGAAAAAAGAGTAAGATAAATCCAAATTTGTGGGCAAAACCAAAAGTATGGAAGAAAATAGAAAAAGGAAATAATGTAATGGGCCTTAGGTTGCATTGTTTATCCGTCACATTAAGGTCCATAAGTGGAGAAAATATCTCCTTGGTCCTCTCATCTTTCTCTATCCCTCTCTCTCATTTCAGCTTCACGTGGACATCATAATGCTTTTAAAATGTGAGGCTGTTGAATTGTTGTTGTTGAACTATTATGATATGAATGTATCATAATATTGAATTGCTTCGAAGTCTATAATATAGAAAAAGGTCATGCCGATTTTCTTTTATTTTACACCTAAAAGTTAGGTTTGCAAGTATCATACTATATATTCTTCTTATTATCTCGTTTTTTTAATGAATCATTTCTCATGCATTACGAAGAACAATGAAAACAAGAACATATGCATATGAAAGTAGAGGAAAAGATAAGTAAATGGATGGGGATTTATTTTAAAGAAATATAGTTTCCAGGAAAACTATCGAGAAGTTTTTGGACAATGCTGCAAAAAGGTATTCCGTTCGGACTGAATGATACATTAGTTACCGGATAGCAAGCGATATCTAAGAGGTATCATCCTGTCTGAACAAAGTATCAGCCGATATGTACTACTCCCTCCGTCCCAGAATATAAGCATTTTTAGAGTTGGACACGTTTATTAAGAAAGTAGGTAGAAATGAATGGTGGAGGGTTGTAATTGGTTGAGTAGTGGAGGTAGGTGGAAAAGGTGAATGGTGAAGAGTTGGGATTGGTTGGGAAGAAAATGTTGGTGGAGAAGTTGTTATATTTTGGGACAAATCTTGAGGGCTAAAAGTTATTATATTTTGGGACGGAGTGAGTAGGTATCAAACGAAATCTCTGAGATATCATCCTATCCGAATGTAATACTGTTTGGTAGCATTTGGGTTGGAATCGCCATCCAAATTTAGGCTTTTTTCTTACATAAACTCATTTAAAACATACTACTCCCTCCATTTTAGGTTATAATATGTTTTAACTTTGATCAAAGTCAAACTGCTTTAAGTTTGATCAAGTTTATATAAAAATAAGTAATACTTTCGACCCACAATAAATTTATTATAAAAATAAATTTAATAAAACTAATTTGGTAATGTAAATATTACTATATCAAATATATAAACTTAATCAAGCTTGAAACAATTTAACTTTGACCAAAGTTAAAATATCTTGTAACCTGAAACGGAACTGAGGGAGTAACAAAATTTGCCACGTAAAAGTCAGGGATGATCACACGTTCTCACGGTCTCATCTTTTCGTTTATACTTATGTTTATCAGCCAAAATTTAAATTTTCAATCTTAAATTTAAAGTTGATTTTGAGGTTTTTTTCGTCGAGGTTTATCTTTTAGATCGCTAAGAACACGTATATAAAAGTTTTATTCACAAATTATTTTGAGTAAAGTGCATTGGTGGTCCTTAAACTTGTAAGGTTGTGTCATATAGGTTCTTAAACTCTCAAAATGCATATCCAAGCCTCATAACTTATCAAAGTGTATCATCTAGGTCCCAAATTGACACATCCTCTCTAGGATCCTACGTGGCGCTGATGTGACATCCTCTCTAGGATCCTACGTGGCGCTGATGTGACATGCTACCTGGACGTGACATGTCATTTTTTTTTCTTTTTCGTTTTCGTTTTCTTCTCATTATTCTTTTTTTCCATTCTTCTGCTCGGGTTACGGAGAAAGGAGAACAAAGGGAAAAAAAGGAAGAAAAAAAGAAAAAGGAAAAAAATTTAAATTGGTCTCATTTGTCAGTCAAAATGATGCCATGTCATGTCCGTGTGGTATACCACATCAACGCCACGTAGGATCCGGAAGGGATTGTGATGATTTGGGACCTAAATGACACACTATGACAAATTCTGGGACTTGAATATATATTTCGAGAGTTTAGGGACCTAAATGATATATCCCTACAAGTTTAAGAACCGTCGGTCCACTTTACTCTTATTTTTATTTTTAGTTTGCAAATATGTACTGTAGTTTAAACGATGAAACGCTCAGTGCCACAGCTTACTGCTGGTCCGGTCCTCGCCTGCTGAGTGCTGGCTGCTGCAGCTCCAAGGCAACAATGGTGAGTGGGAGGTCCATCACCTCCGGCGCCGCCGCGCCGTGCCACCTGCGACCGACGGACCGGCACACCATGGCCGCGTGCCGCTCGCGGCAGCGACCACCTCTGCCCCCCAAAACAAGGGCAAAGGGCCCGGCGCGCCGCTCCGGTAAGCTCCATCGTCAACCGTCTCCGCGAGGCACGCATCGTCATCCCCTCTCCTCTCCTCTTCTCCGCCGAGGATCTGCTGTCTCGGGCTCTTTTTTTTAGGGTTTAGGGTACAGTGCTCGATCCTGTAATAATTCTGAAAAAAGGCAGTGCTTTTCGTGTCTCTGAATGCCACATCACAATGCCCAAATGCCACGGTTGCACCGATTTTATTCCGTTTCTCACTGTCCAAATGCCGCATCACGATCGCGCCATGATTATTTTTTTTTTAGCCCTCCTCACCAGCTAACTTTTATTCAGATAAAAGGGAATGATTTTTTACAGGGATGGGTTATTGGGGGAACTACAATACAACATCACTGGTGAAACTGAAAACAACCAAGAGACAGGCTAACTAAAACATGTTCAGAAACATCATCAAGCTAAACCGGATTTTTATTCAGACAGAAGGGATTTGTTTTCTGATTTGAGATTGCAGCCACATCAACATCAAAGATAGGAGATATTTCAGAGCACACAATCTTTTCGTTGAAGACTGGGCCACATGATGTTGGCAAGAGCAACCACACTGTTAGTTAGGGAGAAAGTGAGCAATTAATTTAAATATATAAATTGCCCCTCTGAATCTTCTAGCCGATTTTGTAAATAAACGCACTTCTGTAAAAAAAAAAAGATTTCTAACACCTGGGTGGGTAGATTGAATTGCAGGCAGAACAAGTCCAAGTTTGCAAATCCAGGAGAGACCAGGATTAGTGAAAAGCCAACCAATTGATGCTTGTCTTGACTTGACCTGGCAATAAGGTTAGGTAGCCAAGGAGTCCAATACTGGAGGGTTGATCGGTCCGTGTTCTCTTCCACACAAATCTTCTTAATCATCTTCTTTCCTAGCTGTTGATATTGTTCTTCCTGTTGAGAAATTGACAGGAATTCATGGCGGGTGCACTGGTGAGCGCCTCTACGGGGGTCATGGAGTCTCTCCTTGGCAAGCTATCCAGTATGTTGGAGAAAGAGTACGCCAAGAAGAAAGCGGTAGAGAAGGATGTGCTGTTCCTGCGAAACGAGCTGAGCAGCATGAACACCGTGATGCAGAAGTACGCGATGTTGAGTGAGCCCGACTTGCAAGTGAAGGCTTGGATGAAAGAGGTAAGGGAGCTGGCCTACGACATCGAGGACACCATTGACGCTTTCATGGCTCGGAGTGAAAAATCCAATGAGCCTACAGGTATCAGAGGATTTATCATCAACAATATCCTGAAACTGAGAGAGCTGCTCTCAAGCTGTACTATTTCTCAAGAGATTGAAAAACTCAAGAACCAAGTTCTCGAGGTGAACGATCGTAGAAAAAGGTATAAGCTTGATGTATCTGTGTCCATGGGTACCGGCTGTGAATCAATTGACCCTCGCCTGCCAGCGTTTTATTCCGAGGTAGGTGGACTTGTCGGGATCGATGGGCCGAGGGACAAAATTATCAAGTTGCTAAGGGAGAATGCAGCTGATGAAGATTGTGGATTTGTGAATCGACTTAAGATGGTGTCTATCGCAGGGTTTGGAGGTTTGGGGAAAACTACTCTTGCCAAACAAGTTTATGAGAAAATCAAATGGCAGTTTGATTGTGCTGCTTTCGTGTTTGTATCTCAAATCCCAGATATGAAGAGGGTTCTTTTGGATTTGCTTTGTGGACTTGGGGCTTCTGGTAATACATGGGATGATGAGAAGCAACTCATTGACAAGATCAGAGAATTTCTTCATGACAAGAGGTTTGTGTTTATATAGAGTAACTTCTACTACCTTTCTGTTATTTCGTATCCAGACTTATTGTATGAAACTTGGCCCATAGGTATATAATTGTCATTGATGATATCTGGAGCATATCTTCTTGGGAGATCTTGAAGTGTGTATTGCCTGAGAACAATTCTGGCAGTAGAATAATTACAACTACACGTATTCTTGACGTATCCATGATATGTTGCTCTACTTTCAATGGAAGTATTTACCGCATCAAACCATTAAGTGACGACGACTCCAGAAGGTTGTTTTGTAGAAGAATTTTCCACGGTGAGCATTCGTGTCCATCACATCTAGAAGAGCTTTCAAAAGCAATTTTAAGAAAATGTGGTGGTTTGCCATTGGCCATACTTCATATTGCTAGTTTGTTGGCAACCAAATCTAACACAAAGGAAGAGTGGGAGTTGGTGCTAAATTCAATTGGCTCAGCACTTGAAAATAGCCATACTCTACAAGGTCTGAAAAAGATACTGTTACTCAGTTTCTATGATTTACCACCACAATTGAAGACTTGCTTACTATATCTCAGTATATATCCAGAAGATTGCATGATCAACTCCAAAGAGTTGATAAGGAAATGGATAGCTGAAGGATTTATCGCGGAAGACAGTGGGAAGAGATTGGACCAAGTAGCAGAGAGTTATCTTAATGATCTTATCAACAGAAGCATGATCTTACCTTTCGACATTACTCATGCTGATGGTGTACAATATTATCAAGTCCATGACGTTGTCCTTAACATTATCATATCTATGTCGAAAGAAGAGAATTTTGTCACGATAATAGATGGGCATAAGTGCAGTTCTTTGCAGGAAAAGATCCGTCGAGTATCCCTCCAGTTCAATGATTCAGAAGATGTTGTAGTGCCAACAAACATAACAAACAGAAGTTGTGTCCGTTCACTCAGTATATTTGGGATTACTAAGCAAGTGCCATATTTTATGGATCTTCAATCTTTGCGAGTGTTGGACTTAGGTTATTGTACATTGTTACAGAATCAGCACATTGAATGTTTAGGAAGTATGCTTCAACTTAGGTATCTGGTTCTCCATTCTCAATTAATCACTGAACTTCCTGATGAAATTGGGAACTTGCAACATCTAGAGATGTTAGATGTCACATTATGTTCCATACAAGCTCTTCCAGATACCATTGTTCGATTACAGAAACTCGTGTGTCTATATGTGAGTACTAAAGTGAAACTACCAGAAATGATTGGAACTATGCAATGTTTAGAGGAGCTGTTCCACATATCAAGCAACTCTATAAGATTGGCTGGAGATCTTAAATGTCTGAAAAAACTGAGAGATCTTGCAATAGCTGTTGAAGACCCTGTTGGGACAAAGAGCTCTACATTGAGATACAGGGAAGTAGTTCGGTCATCCCTTACTGAATTGGGCAGACACAACCTGCAGTCACTCTCACTGAATTACAAAGGTGATGAGAATTTCATTCTGGATTCGTCGATGGGTTCATGCTTCTCAACTCAGCGTCTCCGGAAACTTATCATTGGGAAAACTCTTTCCAGGGTGCCAGAGTGGATGAGTATATTTGACAATCTCACACACTTACAACTGTGCATCTCAAGGATGGAACAGAGTGATATTAACATACTCAAAGGAATTGACTCTCTGATCTTTCTCCGCCTCGTATTTACAGGGCATGCTCCTGATGGAAGGATAGTCATCGACAACCGAGGATTTCAAGCTCTCAAGGAATTATATCTTCTATGTTTCATTCCTGGGATGTGGCCAGTGTTCGAGCCAGGAGCTATGCAAGAATTACAGAAGTATCACCTCACTTTCAAGCTACAGAAAGTACATTGCAAGAATAGTGTTTTGGACTTTGGTCTCCAGCATCTTTCAAGCCTCCAGCACATAAGTGCGATAATTATTCCATCTGGTGCTACCAGTGAGGACACATTGGTTGCAGAGGATGCCATCAGGAGTGCTACAAGTATCCATCCCAACCAACCAATAGCTGAAATTTTTGTCGAGTAAAAAAAATGGTAACCGGCCAGTTATAGGTTTTCTACGAGTCAAAATTCTCCCCGAAACAAGTAGACCTCATTTTCATGTGTCTTTGTGTTATATGCTCCTCTGTTCTGGTTGCATTTGAGAATGTATGCCTTTGTTAGTATAACCCTTTCACAAGTGAAGAACTAATTACATTAGTCCTCTGATACTGTAGTCCTAATGCTCTTTTTAGGTGAGGATAGTTGTACTCTAACTCTTGTATATTACTGATTTTATTTTTGTGGTTGTATGCTAAGTTATTTATTTGCTCAAGCATGCAGTTTGTTTTTTTTTTTGACAGAAACATGCCGTTCAATTTTGTATATGCGGCCGGCAACCCTGTGAAAGAATATCATGAACTGACTGAAACTGAAATAGAACATGGCTGAATGCTAAAACAAGGATTACCATTACAAAATCCCTGAAATGTTGATTATGCATTCATGAATCATGTAGTTGGCATATGACCTCGATCAGTATCCTATTTTTGTATGTAGCATCTTCGTAGCTTTATTGATCTTTACAAATATAGCTTCAATGATCTTAGCTCGTACAAAAGAACAACATTTTCATGGTCATGTAAATCTCTTGTGATTTTAGTTGGGTGAATAGTTCCATATTTCATTAAATCAAGAAATGAAACAAGTTAAAGAGTGAATTGCTTGCAACGATTTCTTAACCTTGCTACTTTTGGTTCTGTAGATGTTCTGATCTAATGATGATTACAGTTAGCGTGTAGCTGGACGGTGTGGTTTCCTGTGAAAATACAACAGGGACTCGGACCTTGATTTATACATGTATTTGCTTCATAAAATTTATACGCCCACAGACAAATATTAAACTTTCATATGGATGAAATTATATACTTCGAATCCTACTGAAACATCAATTTTTCTAGCCGTCGTCGACGGAACTAAGTTGCTGAACGTCAGAGAGGTTATTTAAGTTAGTTAGTCCGATGTATGAAGTTATATATTTTTAAAAGGCAATTGTTCTTTGTCCGGTTTGAGAAGTTCAAAAAAAAAATGACTTCACTAGGAATTCAAAGAAAGAGAGGTGCAGTTTAACCTTTAGGTGTATTTTAAATCTATAACTTGGTTTAGCTTTTTGGCAGCACGCAAAACGGCATATGAGTATTAATCATTACAAATTCTAACAATTGATTTATTTGATTTTTTTAAAAGAAACTTCTATATAATTTTTTTCAAGAAAACACACTATCTAACCATTTAAAAAACATGCTAACGAAAAAAGGGAAAGAAAATTGCAGTTTGAAGTTAAAGAAAAGAAAGCAGCATTAGGCCTTCTTCGAAACGCAGCATAGAAAAAAAAAGAATAGGAAAAATTCTATTAAAAACAAAGGAAAGTAGTGGAGCTCACAAAGTAATAAAGGAAAATAATTTCCAAGAGGTTGGACAACTTGCCCGTGCCGTGCATTAGCCATCACATTCATCAATGCATGAAACAATGATAAGAAAACTTAACTTGCAAATTTGAACCAAATATCGCTTTACAATGTCAATAACAAGAACACGACTTCAAAGCACAGGAACATTGTCCCAAATGCTGCTTCAACTCACTCAGGTGAATCTATTGCCTATTCCTCATCAGAAGAGTCGTCCAAAGGGATCTCCGTTTGTTCATTCACAACATCAGAGGTCTACTCATTGAATAGAAAGTTTAGTTAGATCTTCAGGCAAAGGAGTTACCAGTGTCGCCTAATGCAAATAATGCTAAATCAGGAGGCTTTACCTGCATTTTATCCCAATCTTTCAATTTCGACCCAAGCATGTATGTCTCGCGTAGGGGTGCCCACCCAGGTTCGTCTTCGTCTTTGCTATTGTTCTGAAGCACATCAAGTGTGAGAAATATCCAAGAGCTTCTTAAGTTCCAAATACATAAAAATATGTATAAAATATGTTCCGAAATAAAATGAAATTCAGATATGGCGCACAAGAGCAGCCAACTTGTCACAGGTTAAATCATTTTACATCTGATTTAGTTAACTTATGGCATGAGAAACAGTAGATAGTTTATTATATATCTGATGAATCACAGGTACACATACAGAAACACAGTCCAACTTGTATATTCTTAACACGTATATTCTTAATGCTAATGCTGAGGATACGGGTGCTTATTTAAATGATGTCAGATTTACTCATTGTTGAACACTCCCTCATATGAAATCCCTCCAACTGTAAATAGATGTGTTGAAGACCTATGTTGCCCCCTCATTACCTCAAGTTTAGCACAAGACCCACCTTACTACCAAATCTTAAAATAAAACATGAATCTACTCCCTTGAGCTACTGAACTAATTGGACTAATGAGCTGGTCGCTTACTAGACCCAATCAACATCCGGAACTTATTATTATGATTTAGATTACCACTAAATTAATCAACATCTCTTATTGCCTTATGGCTCAAGGAAAATCCATTTTTTTCAAATTTGAAACTTCAAAAAAGTAGCATCATGTCATTTCTGGATGCAATGAATAGACGTGGGAGACAGACAGCTGAGATACTGAATGGGCAGTACTATAACAACACATCGACGGTGTCAATAGAAAGGTGCTGCCCGACACAAAATAGAATCGAAACTCTGTACCGAAACAAAAAGAGCCCCTTACATAGAGGGGTTTCACACAGATTGAACTAGATTATGATGTGTCCACAATACCATCGGCACGATCATGGTTGTTAAGGCGTCGCTGTAGCAGTAAGGCGGTTGCGGAGGTCAAGGCGTCCACTCCGCCTTATGTTTCCTCCACCTTAGAGGCAAAACGAGTAGAGAAAGGGAAAGAACAGGAAAAACCAGTAGAGAAAGGAAAGGAAGAAGAGGTAAGCTCATCATGGAACCTAGTTGGCTTGTAGAGAAAGAGAAAGAAGAAGCGGCCAGAGACATTGATGGCGGCTGGTGCCTCTTCTCGTCATGGCGGCTGGTGCCTGGTGGTGTACGATGTCTCTTAGGGCATAAAACACGTGGGTATGAAGACTAATGTTGGTCTTTGGTGGGCTGGTTGCCTGGCTTAGTGGGCCTTTTACCAATTTCCTTTTTTTTTCTTCCTAATTTCTCTACCATATCCTCCACTAATCACGCCTCAATCATCTCATAAGGCGTCGCAATGTTACGCCTCAGCGCTATGGCGCTAAGGCAGTGGTGGGTCGCCTTAAACCGCCTTAACAACACTGGGCACGATTCAAGTGCACAACAAAATTTGGGGTGACTTTGCTAGACGATTTCAATTCTCATGTTAAATCGCATAATGGACAATATGTCAAGCACTACAGCTATCAACTAATACATTTGGACAATGAAGTGTATTTGCACGTTGAGGTTACTTTAATTGCTACGGTCTTGATGTCAAAAAATAATTGCTATTGTCTTCTGTCACGCAACATCTTGTATTGCAGTTGTCCGTTTTGATTTATTTGAGGCTGTAATTTGCATCAAATTTAGCATAACTAATTTGAACAACAGTTCCACCAGATATGCCTCTGAGAACAACTAATTTGAATTTGAAGATACAACACAAATACTTAGCAACAGAAGTCTATAAAATGAAATGGAGTGTTTTTGAGTAAAGAGAGAATTATCATAGCTACCTTAGAAAAGTTGGAAGATGCCTTGCCCTTTTGACTTTGGTTAGATGTTTTGCTTAATTCTGTGAGGAAGGCCTGCTTTGTTTCTTTTGCCAACACTGTTAGGATTAACACAAAATGTTCAGAATATTTTCGTTAGTAGCAAAAAAATGCATATATACATCAAAATAAAATACAAAACATAAGTACGGTGTGCAGAATGACAATGTCATATGATAGTATTTGCTGTCAATGAAAAGATCATGACACATGGTGTTTCCAGCTGGCCTCAATTATGCTTAACTTCCGCATTTTGTGTCAAACAAAAGGAGGTATTTCATGCAGTCAGAAGCACATAAACAAAGAGGTCCTATTCAAACCATCTTGAGTTGATAGTAGTCTTGCACTCTTGTGTGTCTCCCACCTTTTATTTTTTAGATGTAACGCCCCAACACTCGTTGTTTTTATCAGGCTAACTAGTAGGGAGGAAGGATGCAAAGAAAATGCACCATCAAGGATGCAAAGAAAATGCACCATCCAATGAATAAAGAGTACATGCTGAACCAGTAGTTTTACTTTTTCATAAATGTAGAATCGATTTCTTTCATATTTATTGATTTTTTGAAGTCTAAAATCCAAACTATCAACCTAGTCACAACAGGTTCCTAAATTATTAGAGGTAGAATGATGGATTACATGGTAAGTAAACCAACACACCTTTGGCGTCTTTACTCCTTGATGGGTTCAAACCTTTCCGACAATTCTGCGCCTTGCTTACCTGGAAGGAATAAAGTAAAGGCCTATCAAATCAATCATCAAATAGCTGCTATTTTATTAGTCCTGCTATTACATGGAAAAGGTACATGCACATGTCCGTGAGTGTGTTCCCTTAACACAAGCTCATCAAATATTCAATATAAAGCTTCGAAAGCACCTCACATATACATTTTCACTGTGCTAAGTAGGTAAATACAGAATTAAATGTGCTTTACAGCAGTAAAATTAAAATTTTCTTTCTTCAATGTACTTCAGTAATAAAAACTAAGAAGACAAGCAAGAGCTGTCTTCAAAAATAAACAAATATGAGATACATCTGTATCATGGAAAGCTTGATGTATCCTATGATATGGAGAGTAACTGAGCCTCAGTGTGACGTTATAAGCAGAATGGCAGGATAAACAAGGAGACAATAAGGTTTCACCATTGTAGGGTCAGTCGAAGCTCAGTAAAACAAAGAACCATGATGTAAAAAGCTATACATGCATACTTCACGAAAATATAAGATAGCCGTGTGCTTACCGAGTTGAACAACCTGACGACTGAATCACCAGCAGCAAGACAATCGGTGTAAAAAAAATCAACAGGAGAGGCATCCAATTAGCTAACAAATAATATGTAGTTTGTGATATGCAAAATAACAGAGTAGAAAACAGAAGATTACCCCCTTGGGTTGCGATTTTGATGAGCTCCTTCTCTTTACTATCTAAATGATTTGTGGGAATGACATGGCCCTTCTCTGCAGCCTAAGCAAATCAAACGCATTCAATCCAATTCAGCATTTCAGCACAGAAACTTCTACAAGGGGATGTAGAAATTATCGAGCGAAACAAGCCGTACCATGCGCTTTTCCCTGCGGCCTTCTCCCTTGGGCTTGTGTTCTTCTGCGTCCTCGGCCAACTTGGCGGCGACCAGCTTCTTGTGCGCCGAAAGAATTGGACCCTAATGCGGCGGCGCGAAATTCATCAGTCCATTGAAAAGAAAAGTAAAGAAAAGAAAAGCATTATTCTTCTTTTGTAGAGAGAGATGGATCGAACCAGTGGGTCGTCGGGGAGCTTCTTGGCCATGATCTTCGTGAAGGCGACGCGGAACGCGCGGCACCCCTGCTCGAACCTGGTCACCGCGCCGGCGGCCTCGTCGTCACCGGAGCCGGAAGCCCCCTCCTCCTCCTCGTCCTCATCCGAGAGGCGCTCCTCGTCGTCGGAGTCGTCGGAGTTGTAGTCGCGGGCGCGCTTGCGGAGCAGCTTGAGGAACCTGTCGCTGGGCTTGCTGCGGCGGCGGGGGAGGTCGCCGGGGTCATCGGAGCGCCTGGGCGTCTTGGCGAGGCGGCCCTTTCCCTTGCCCTTCCCCTTCCCCCTCGCCGCCGGCTTCTTGCGCTTGTGGGGGTTGTTCGACGCGGCGCCGGCTGCGGCGGATGGAGAGGACACAGGCTGCGGGGCGGTGGCGGAGGCCATGGGGCTCTTCCACCGGGAGAGCAACCGACCCCTCGATTTTGTTGAGGATGGGGCTAGCTGGCCGGCGAAATCCCTCGCCGCCGCCGCCGCCGTACGCCGGTGGGGAATCGCGTCGTCGGCGAGGAAAGAAGAGAGGAAGGGAGGAGGCGGCGGCTGGGCCTTGGGGTGGAGGGGATTCTAGGGTTTATGGTAGGATTTTGGGGTTATTGGGCCGGTTTGGTTCGATGATCCGGTGAGACGTGTGAACAAATGGACTTCTTTCTTGTATCTCCTCCCAACAAAATGCATTTTCAATATTGCTAAAAGTATTGCCCTAAATAAAATATTTGTATACTTATGTTTTTTTAGTAAATGGTACTAGAAAAAATATCTGTGCATTACAACAAGTAAAAATCTTTTTTTATGATAGATTAAAATGTTGGGATCGGTACACATTATAATTGAAAAAGTTAATAAAAATCCTTACTTTGTTTTGGGCTAAAAGACCATTCTTTCGTTCTTTTTTCAGCCCTAACATTGTCCAATACCTACCCCCGCTCGGTCTGTCTCTTCGGCCTGGTGCTCTGTCATGCCGGAGCTGATCCTCCCATCAAATCCGACCGAATCTTTCTCGATATCCCAAAATTGGTTGATTTTTTATCCACTTTATATTCTCTTTCCGTTTTTTCTAAAATCGGAGATAATTCGCAAAACTTATTAAAAGACTCGATATTAAAACCGGAGATAATTCGCAAAACTCAATAAAAGACTCGATATTCTCTTTCCGTTTTTTCTGAAATGGGAGATAATTCGCAAAACTCACTAAAAGACCAAAGAAGCTTATTGGTTGGCCATCTTCAATAGAGATTAAATTCGATGAATTAAAGCCGAATTGAAAGGGGAAATTATGAGAAAAATGATAAGAGAGGAGTGAGGAATCGATTTGCAATCAATTGGAGGAGAAAACAGTGGAGGCAGATCGACGTTAGGATTGTGCTAGGGTTCAGCCCAGGAACGAACGGTGCATAGGATCTCGTGGGAGGAGACAGAAGAAAAAATTTCGGAATACCTACATATTTATTTCTTAAAGTAGGGTCGTGTTTAGTTTGTGTGCCAAAATTTTTTTAGTATATGGACACACATTTGAAGTATTAAACGTAGACTAATAACAAAACAAATTATAAATTCCGCCTGTAAACTGCGAGACGAATTTATTAAGCCTAATTAATCTGTCATTAGCAAATGTTTACGGTAGCATTACATTGTCAAATCATGGCGTAATTAGGCTCAAAAGATTCGTCTCGCAATTTACATGCAAACTGTGCAATTGGTTTTTTTATCCACATTTAATGCTCTATTCATGTGTCTAAATATTTGATGTGACAGAATTTTTGGAAGTTTGAAGAGAAACACTACCTAGGTATAGATTTAAATTTCTTCAAGAGTAAATTACACAAGACTATAGTTATTCTGACTAAACTATCACAAAACTCAAAGATTTAATACTAAATTTGTTAAAAATATATAAATTTAAGGACAAGTAACATAAAACTACATATTTAATATTGAAGTTATCACATCACTACAAATTTTAGAGTTTAAATCCCTAGAACCATCGATACGTTGGAACTATATATTATAGTTTTGTGACTAAATTTGTTCTAAATCTGTAATTTTGAGATAATTTTCTTACTAAATGTGCTGTTTTTTGACACTCCATGTTAAATATGTAGTTTTGTGATACTATCTATAGTTTTGTGAAATTTACTCTTTCTGAAATTTGATATTATCTAAGCAGGATGGTAAATAATAGAAACCCATTTTATATCATTTTGGACCCTCGAACTTCACACCGAAATTGGAGCCCTGTCAAATAGGTCATAAACTACCAAAAATTTTTTACCATCAACTTTCAAAACTAGATAATTAACACCCTGCAATATATTTTTTTGTTTTTTAAATAAAGGTGGTTTTCCTGGTTCATATATTTATTATCCATGTTCTTCTATGTAAATGTCACTTAATTAGGTACAGAGCCATGAAAGCCTATTGAAGTTCATATTATTGAAAACCACTTTCACATAGTAGTTCAAACCATCATGAAACTTGGTTTATAATGTTATTTGCTCGGTTTTGAAATGTTGAGGGTTTGAAGTTCACATTGCTGAGAAACCACCATCATATCCATCAAACCATCACGAAACATGGAATACGGTGTTATTTGCTAGGTTTTGAAAAGTTGAGAATGAAAAACAGCCGGTTTGCAGTTTAGGGTGAAAGTACACTTTGAGCAAAGCTGAAGGGACAAAATGGATTTGTCTTCTTTCCCCTCTTCATTTTTTACGCACAGCAACACGAGAATAATGTACCAAGATGAAACTTAATTGCTTTTTAAGTTATAGATAATAATTCATATAACATCTACAAAGATTGGCACAACTAAATAGAACTACGGAGTACTCAGGGGCGGAGGCAAGCCTAGGGCAAATCATGATAAATTAGGTTAAATCACCATATAATTTTAAAGAAAAATCAACAACTCGTTAGTTGAGCCCTAGGTTAGCCCACTCTTTAGTAATTGCTAGCTCCGCCACTGGGAGTACTTATTTAAAGGAGCATTAGAAGGGTGATTGTCTAACAAAATTTTTAGGTGTCAAAGAGTGTACATCTATATATATATGTAACAAGATGGATATGATAGATATATATCATCCATCTCGAGAAGGAGTGTTGGACTGTGTGCATGTGTGTATTGTGGCTCAAGATGCCCATGTACCCATATGCTTGTATATGTACTAGAGTAAGCAATTTAGAATAGTACACTGGTACTGAAGCTTCTAGAAAAAGAGCTATCTAAGTTTTCAACTATTACTGACTCCTTTGAAATTTAAGATTACCATATAAATTATGGATAATTCAGCCTTTTGATGTATTTTTCGGATTCATTAGAAAAGGACAGGAAATTTGCCATAAGATTGTATGTCTATCAGTCTATGGCTTAATTTGATTGGAAAATAAGCAAGTTGTCTAACTTCTTGCAAATTATTTTCCTTTTACTATTTGAGATCCACTACTTTTCTATCCTGCGTTTCAAAGAGGGCCTAAAGGTTAATTGCACCTCTCTCTTTCTTTTTTATACATAGTGAAGTCGATTTTCACTGTAAACTTTTCAAACAGGACGAACAACAATTGCCTTTCAAAAATAGATAACTTCGTACATCAGACTAAGGGGGAGTTTGGATGGGACTAAAAAATTTTAGTCTCTGTCATATCGGATGTTTGAGCACTAATTAGAAGTATTAAACGTAAACTAATGACAAAACTCATTCCATAACCCTGGACTAATTCGCAAGACGAATTTATTGAGCCTAATTAATTAATCCATGATTAGACTATGTGATGCTACAGTAAACATTCTCTAATTATGAATTAATTAGGCTTAAAAAAATTGTCTCGCAGATTAGCTCTCATTTATATAATTAGTTTTATAAGTAGTATATGTTTAATACTCTAAATTAGTGTCCAAACATCTGATGTGAGATGGACTAAAGTTTAGTCCCTAAATCCTAACACTCCCTAAGAAAATTCTGCCTAATATAAGCACTGGGGTAACTAACTTAACCTCTGACGTTCAGCAACTTGATGTTTCAGCAGGATTCAAAGTATAGAATTTCCATATACTTTGTATCCCTATGCGAAAATTCTGAAAGCTAAATATTTTCTATGGACGCATCATTGATGAAGCAAATACATGAATCATGAAGGGTCTGAGACTCTGAGTGACTGCTGTATTTCACGAGAAGCCATACCAACCAGCTAGGCACTCGCTGAAAATCATCATTAGACAAGAACATCTACAGAACTAAAAATAATACTCCCCTGTTTTTTTAATACATAATGCTGCACCGTTGACTTTTAACACGATGTTTGACCAATCCTCCTACTATTAAAAAAATTTATATAAATGGCATTTATTTTGTTGTGATATGTTTTATCATTAAAAAAAACTTCAAGAATGACTTACACTTCAGCAAATTTACACTAATTTTTTTTAATAAAACGAATAATCAAACAAAAAAGTCAATAGCATCATCTATTTTAAAAACAGAGATAGTATAGGTTGAGAAATCGTTACAAATTCACATTTTAACTTGTTTCATCTCTTGATTTAATCAAATATAGAACTATTGACCAGGAAACACTCAACCAAAATCACCAAGAGGTTTCGAAACAGTTGTTCTTTTATACGAACAAAGATCATTGAATTTATATTTGTAAAGATCAATAAAGCTACGAAGATGCAACATACAGAAATAGGATATATACTAATCGAGCTCATATGCCAAGTACATAATTCATGAATGCATAACCAACAGAGTGACCCGGTTTTTTCAGGACTTTGTAATGGTAATCCTTGTTTCAACACTCAGCCATGTTTTATTTGAGTTTCAGTCAGCTCATGATATTTCTTTCACAAGGTTGCTGTGCATACAAAAATTGAACTACATGTTTGAGCAAACAACTTAATGTACAACCACAAGACATCAATAATGTAGAAGAGTAGAATTATACTTAGATAAAAAGAGCATTTGACTATGACTATATAGTATCACAGGACTGAAGAGATCAGTTGTTCCCTTGAAAAAAACAACCTGATCAAAGGGGCATATAACGCAAACACCAACAAGGCCACAACAAAAGACACATCTATCTATCTATCTATCTATCTATCTATCTATCTATCTATCTATCTATCTATTATCTATTATATTATATATACTAAAAGTCCATTACATTAAACTCCCTATAAACGCTCTCAAGCCGCCACGTGAGCCTCCTAAAATCCCTCCTAAGCTGCCACGCCGCACTTTTATAATTTCATGGTGTAGCAGGTGTGGGCCCCCAAGGAGCAAGCCCAAACTGCCATCGCTCTTCTGCCGCTAGCGGCGTGCGTATAGTAGACGAGGAGGTTGCGAAGCGATCGCCTGTTCCCAAATCCAAGGGATACGCGAGATTGTCGCCGTGACCTAGCAGTCTAGATGAACCCGGCTCGCCGCCGCCTTGCCTCTCCGTTGCAACGGCTGCCTCGCGCCGTCGTCACCCCCATCGCTGCCGGCCCGCCGGCTGCTGTGAGTCCGTGACCGCATGCAACTGCAAGACGAGCATGCAGTCGATCGATGATCGATCTGCTCTTGCTTATCTGCATGTGAAGAGGAGGTGATCAGGTGATGATCGGAGCAGATA